ACATACAACAGCGGGGATTCGCTGGTCGTCACCGACCCAACTACTAATCCGCCCCTTGCGGGCTTGACGATGGGAGAGCGGACGGGATCCCGTATTTTCCTGCAGGTGTGGTCGTATGTGATAGAGAGAGCAACATAATGTGTCTATCAATGGTGTCACCATTCCACAGAGCAGAGAGAAAGCAAAGCCATATTACATGATCTTGACTTTCTCCTTTGTACCAAGCCACCCGATCTATACTCCCTGGATAGAACTCCTTGTTAGACACCACCATTATATATTCTATGAAGAAGTTGTCTGGTTCTTAGAATGACAAAGCTCTTCATGCCAGTCCCCAGTCGCATGCCACCGTCCAAACCTCTCCATCCAACTCAATATCCCACACTGGCTGTCCCACCTTAACAATACTTCCTACACTCAAGGGCATCCTCTGCCCCAGGCCCGTCAACCTACCCTCACCGGCAAGTAAGAACTTCTTGTTTTCAGATATATCAGTAGAGCCCTTGACTAGATACATGCGCCGACCTGGCCGGACCTCCTCAACAGTTACTTCGATTGTTGATAATGGAGCTGGCGTCGAGCCTTCCCAGCCTTTTACCTCAGACAGCCACCCTTGGAGTTCAGCGGCGAGTCCGCCAGCTATGTACTTTGCTCCTCGACGCTGTGGGGAGAAAACGGCTGGAATGCCATCCGTTGTGGTATCGAGTTCGGCTTGTTTGAAGCGCGGTGGTGCGCGGAATGTGGGTTGCTGGAGTGCCTTTGACTCATCATAGGGAAGAATAGCGTCTTGGATACTTTGCGTAGACTCCTGGCTTGGGGTTTGGTCTTCCTCGTGTGTATCCTTTTGGTCGTTGTCGACCATGTAGTGATCTTCCTCTATTGGGCTAGAATCTCGCATGGGAGATATCGATACCCTTCGCCGTTTCGGCTCCCGCTCTTCCAGCGGGGAATCCTCGTGCGTTACACTTGGCGTGTTGGAAGCTTGTCGATAAATAAAATCCGACCTTTGAGTGTCTATCTCGTTATCCGAAATAGCTGGGCTGGCATTATGCGAAGCCGTCTCATTGTCGGATTCGACTTCAATGGAGTCGTTGAGCGACTCATACTTCCTAGATGCGAGGTGATCATCTTCGCTGTCCGGATAAGTGCCTTGGGTGCGATCTTCAACTTCTTCAACGTCCTCGATATCGATGCCAGTCCTCGCCTGTGTCGGCCTAGGAACAGAAGAGGAGGCGAAACGAGGGGTTGACTGAAACCGTGGAAGTGCAGTAGGGGTTTGAGACGATTGTGTACCTCTCTTCGGGAGAAGAAATCTTCTTGGCGTAGGAGTCTGCGATACTATGTCAGGATGAAGTTGGATGATGAGATTGAATAGACAAGAGCTCACACTTGGAGGGGGGCTCATGGTATAGGGTGAATGCGCATGGCCGATAAATTATTCAGTAGAAAGTCCATGTAGCTAGTGGTTTTGGTATCAGTGGTTCATCGGCTAGCAGAATTGTAGACTCAGACGAAATTCTGTTTTAGAAAGATGCCTTGAGGACCGTCGGTCAATGAGTTGTGTAAGAAGGGACAAGTGACGTTGATAATAGTGTTGTTGTTAGGTAACGGTAAAAGCTCGGACCAAGGCGACTACACTCGAGCATCAACGTTGTGTCCAAACTTATTAAATGATCAAAGGATAGTGCCATCTCACTTTAAACATATCGTCCGAGATTGTGCAGTGGACTGCATGGTAAACCAAAGCTATGCTTGTTGTTCATCTTATAATATACAAATAAAGACACTCCAAACTCCCAGAAATACCCTTTGTGTGAAGCTTTCACACCCGCCTCTATCCAATACGCGATGTTATTATGATGATGATATCTCCTACCAGCATATGCTGTACTCTTCCCACAGTGTTTATTAAAAGGGCCCGCGGAATCCATCAACAAGGAATGCCGACATCAAGTCATACAATTGTGTCAGAGAGACATGCATCAAGCTTACTTCACGACTGAACATTAACCATAGGCTAATTCAAAGGTCGTTTCGTGGCTCTTCTTAGTTGGCTCAGTGTTCTTGACTTGATGCAGCATGACGGGAGGTAAGCAAGGGCGTCCATGCTTCTCCTCCCATTGAGAGCCACCAATGCCTGTATCTGGCCAGCCCATCCAGTTGTTGTATAATCGGTTAGGGGGTATAGCACGGTAGTACCAGGTTGAACCGATGTATCTTCGCTCTCGACCCCAGCCCATGGGACTACCACGGCCACCGCAATCGCCCTTTTCACCGGGGTTGAACCATTTGTTCAGGAATTTTCCGTCCCAGTCACGGTCCATAAAGACAGGGTGAGGAGCATAGACTGCCTTGAGGCCATGCAGAAGCGCCACTGTCTGCGGCGTCATTTCTGAAGCAACATGGTTTCCACGCAAGTTTTCAACGTGCATGATGTTTAGTAGCCTCTTTGATACGCGAGACTGTGTAACAATGGTGGTTCGTCGAGGGATATCTTGAGACTTGTGGGTTGAATCGTTGTAGCCCCAAACCTGGTTGGCGATGACCCAGTTGCTGTTGATGGGGTTGAACATCGGAGACACAGTGATCACATCAGCATCCTCGCCAACTCCCCATTCATAGTTGTCCTGACTGGGGCTTGCAACAGGAGGCTTGGGACCGATGGGGTTGATGAAAGGAAATTCAGGAGCACCCCAAATAACATCGTCGCCATATCGCTTCTCGACGTCCTTGCGGAACTCATCGTCATAGTTGCCGTGGTAAGTAGGAATATACCATCTCTCGTTTCGCTCCCACATGCCCTTTCGAGGTTGCTTCTTGGCAAATTCACCGAGCTTGTCCAAAAGGTGGTAGTGGTGACCGGTAAAGCGAAAATCCATCTCCCAGTTCCAGACGAAATCGAATTGGGGAAACTCTTGGCTGAATTTCTGCACCGAAAGCCACTGGGCAGTGTGGACGTTCTTTGATTCAGGATCGGTCAGCTTTGGGTAAAGCTGCCAAACGATGTCGTCGTTCCATAGGATCGTCATGCTGCGGAATTCAGGCGGTACACTCTGCGAGAGAACCTTTTGGTAAACATCCTCGTTGTCAAAGATGCGCAGGTTATTATCTTTGACCTGGACCAGCAGGAATACTTCATATTGACCACCAGTCTTGAGAGACAACTCGGAAACCAGCGCCCTGATTGTTTGCTTATCATTTTCGGTGTAATCCTTTCCAGTGTAAGACCGAAGAAGAATTGCAGTTCGGGGCTCGGAAACGTAATCCTTTGTAGGAGCTCTAGGATGCTTCACATGTTCCGAAGATTCGACCTCTGGCTGAGGACTAGCCACTGGGGGTGCGGTATCAGCGTTGATCGGGACAGCGGAGCTATCACCTTCTGTCTCCGCTGAGACATCTCGTTTCGACTTTTGTGCTTGTACAGGTTCCTGAGGATTTTCAGGCTCATGAGGCCCAATGACAGTCTCGGAGTAGTTGTTGAGGTACTCATTGACTCGCTCTCGGTTCATTTCGAAACGTTGTGCATTCTTGTTGACACACATTCGCTGGAGGTCACCCCAGTTGACGGTATCAAAGTTAAGGGGTTGTGGTTCCCCACCAACCTTCTTGAACTGACGATGCAAGCCATAAGGACCAAGTCGGGTCTCTCGCTCCCAGCAAAGGTTAGGGTCCATGTTGAGAGCATCATAGCTGCCAAAACGTGGCAGAGGCCATTCGCGAGGCCGGCCCTTGAAGACAAGCAGATCTTCGACAGGCTCCCCAGTGGCACCTTTACATGGAAAGTACTGGGCGTGCCCAGCCTTCTTCCAATCGTCGCTATTGTACTTGGGATAAGGATCATAACGGACAGGCTTTTCCGAGCTATACTCCACGTCGGCAACAGGATCGAATTTAAGATCAGCACTGAACTCCTCGGACCGAGCTTCATGGTTCTCCAAATTGGCCAAAGTCTTTCCATAGATGTGGTTCGAGCTGGGGAAGCTGACGCGATGTTAGCAAGTATATCGGTTCGAGGGGACATTGATACTCACTTCGATGTGACGGAGTAGGCATGTCTCCATTCCTTCCTCATATCCTTCTCATGTTGGAGTTTACCGAGATCTCCAAAGCCTCTCTCTTTCCCATCTGTTTCAAAACCGGGCTCAATATCATTAGGGTCCTCGCCATCGGTGGGGTCTCGCCAGTCCTTGAGATCTTGAGCTGTGAGCTCCCAAAGCTGTCTGTGGATGGCGCCATATTCATCCTCGTCTCCCTCCTCCTTTGGCTGAGAGTTGCCACCTTGTTCAATGATGGAAGGCGGCGGTACTTGAACTGCGCCTTGAGAGTTGGAAGGGACTGGCATAGTTGTTGCCGGCGAAAAGAGAAGGTAGTAGGCGGCCAACATAGCGAATACAATAATGATCATGGACCTTGGCCGTAGCTTGGCGCCAAACAAGCGCCGGCTTTGGGGGTGCCATTTCTTCATGATAGGCGACAAGTTTGCGAGTCGGTTGATCTGGAGAGCAACCGAGTTGTGTAGCAAACGAGAATCGAAAGCTGGTGTCGCAACTGAAAATGAGGTAGTCAACGAAGCCGACTGAGATCAGGGGTGCATGGCTTGTTGAATAGTTGAGACGCAGGTATTCGGCCGCAGGGACGCAAGGGATGTTGGTCGCAGGGAGGTATCGCCTAATATTAGCTATTTCAGTATCAAATAGCCTCGATCGGTCGGTCTGTCGGTCGCAAAACTGGACTGGATGCTTCTCTGTCGATTGAAGGAGTGTAGTGGCTTCTATCAAAGACAGCCAAAGAATTGCGAAAGATGCAAAACTAAAAGTCAAGTCACACGCTGCGTTTTGGAAGGACGATGCGAATTGTATATCGAGAAGAAAGAAGGGAGAGAAAAAGTGTCCTCGAGAAGGGAGAGTTGATGGAATGGGTGTGGATGATGAGGCGTTGTACAGTATTGGACGGCCAATAATGGCAATTGAACGTGTAACTAAGGTTTCAATTTAAGGGGGGATCTACTGTATCTTGTGGCGCAACGTTGGCGCTCATGGAGGGGCTAGAGAGGGGAGCTGACGACGAATCAGTCAGTCAGTTCACAAACCGTTTTACAGGAGATTAAAAGCGAGATCAAGACATAATTCATATTGGAATGAGTACTTTGACTTGTTCTTATGCATTTCTATGATCGAATTCTTTGATTTGAGCCGTGTTAACTCCTTCCCAAATTAACGGGATTCTATACACGTGGCTTCGCGAAATGGACGTTTACAGATCACCAATGCTCAGTTTCAATGAAACAAGCTGGTTCCTATATTCATCATCGTCTTAATTAGAGCTGGAAGCTTGTGCCTGCTCTCCTTCGCCTACTTGACTACCTACTTAATAGTTTGGGAAATAAGAATCTCTTGTTCTCTAAGTACTAGATCCTTGAACGTTCCCCGCTGCTGTTGATAAAGAACCCTGCTACCAGATCTTCAAGTTCTGTACCTATGCATCAACAAGCACGGACCGGAGACATGTAGATGGTGATATGTCACTGCTTGTTTTGTTCTTGCAAATGCTTCAAATGTACTTCGATTTCGAGCAACTTGGATCGAGTCTCTCACTAATACACTATTCTGCAGAGGCGCATACTACCATACCATACAGCTCATGCCCAATCCTGGATCCAAACGTCTTCCTATAGTGGCACTCGGGATACTACCAAGACATCGTCCAAAAAGACTGCACAATACTTGATGTACAAACCACAGCGGGGCCTAACAAAAACAAGGGGGTATAATAACAAAACAACGATGCTAGCCAACGCCAAGCGTGATAACAGCAAAACCAGGGGTGATAAATGCATTGCGTTCTAGACGCACATAGGTAATATTACAAGATATAGATGGTCCATATAGCGTCATGGAGATTCAGATAAAATAGTCAGGTCGTTACATCATGCCAAGTCGAGTGTTTCGTTTGTTCATTCGTGGTCGAGGACCGGGAGGCCCAGGAGGGCCCGGAGCCAACCGGTTTCCAGGCGGCGGCATGCCGTATGGAGGTCGTGGGAGTCCCATACCGGGGCCCATTCGCTGTGCCGGGTGGCCAGGGAGACCCATCATGGGAGGTCGAGGACCTGACTGTGATCGGCCTGGAGGTGCTTTCATAGGAGGATATGGTTGCTGCACTCGGCGCCAAGCGTCTCGCTCGCAGTACGACTTGCCTTCCACCTCGAAGTAGCCTTCCGAAAGAGACCGGCCACAATCGAGACATCGGAAACAACCAACGTGGTACTTGATTGAGAATTCGTCTTCCAAGTATTGGCCCTCAATGCCCTTCTCACAGCTTCCGCAGAGACTGCCGTTGAGTTTGTGGTAATGGTGTTCACAATAAGGCTTGTCGTTCAGAACATAGAACTCGGCTGATGTGAAAGGTTCAGAGCATGTTGTGCAAACGAAGCAGGCCTTGTGGTATTTGCCTGTTAACCTTCCGTCCGCAGAGGAGATGCTCTTTCCTGTGATAGCGAGGCCGCAGGCTTTGCAGTTGCCACGGGATCGCACAGGGTCCTGTGATGCTTTTCGAATCGGGGGTGCTAACGCTGGAGGGAGCGTTTGCGGTGAAGTTGTCTGCAGGGTTGGAGTAAGGTGGTGTTCTTGAGGTGACGCGGTGTAAGGTGTGTAAGATGGCTTTGATTGTGAAATCTGTCGCTGGTGAGGAATTTGTTGAGACCCATATCGGTTAGGCGAGTCGGTTCTCTCGCGAGACATATCTTGTGGCGACTCTGCAAGAGGTGAACGAGCACGTGGAGGTCGTACAGGGGCCTCCGCTTGAGTGTTCTTAGATCCCAAAGCTTCCATCGAGCTTTCCAGATCTTCCATCAGTCCATCCATAGCCGAGAGGTCAGAGGGATCACGCCGAGGTTGAGATCTTGTCTGGCTAGTTCGAGAGCTGCCGTTGCTCTGGCGGCTGAACGTTGAAAATCCAGAAGATGTAGAGTCCGAAGGTGTGTGGTAAGGGTTGTTGACGCCGAATTCAGCGGCAAGATCGACAGATCCCGAGTACTTGCTGGACTTTGACGGACGCAATAGACTCTTACGTGGCGGAGGTGCTCTCGAGGTGTCTGGTCCTAGCGATGGCTTGGAGGCATGCCCAAACCCACTAGAAACCTTTCGTTCGGGTTTGATGCCAGGTGCAGAAGTAGTCCTTAGTGGTGCTTCTGATCGAACAGCGAGTTTGGGGAACGTGTCAGAGCGGTTCATTGTTCCCAGAGGCTGAGGCTGGAGTAACTCATCGACCTCGAACGGGCGTCCAAAACCTTCGTAGTCATCTCGTGTTGGCCGTTGAGGGGGGGCAGACACTTCGTAATCATTGTTGCTGGCACTTCCTGTAGGAGACGGCGACCTTTCATTTCTTTGGGTGGTAAAATAGTCCCTTGGTGATGCACTCAGGAAGCTTTCCGACTTATCGCGGGGTTCTGCTATCTCCTTAGGAAAGGATGATGCCGAAGGACTGCGAATGGGATCAAAGGGACCTGGAGCGATCGTGTCCACTCTCTTGAATAGGGACGAGTTGACTCCTCCATTAGGGCTCACCGAGCGAGGCTGAAAGTCTGGGCCGCCGAAGCCTCCGTAAGCTCCAGGGCGGTCGATAGGGCGCGGTGATGGCATGATAAGATCGTCTTCGTGTGGCGTTGGAACGTCGTCAAAGAAACAGTTCATGTCATTGATTGGCGATGTGCTGCGCGGTTCACTATTTGGTGTCAATTGTCCTTTTCGCATAAACGGATGATCTGTGGTATCGTTAGAGGCCTCTTCTTTTGGTTGTTATATACCTTGGCAGGTAGGCACTTACTGGCAGCGTTGACATCTAGTGAGGGCGGTATGTGACCTGGTTTCTCAGGAGACGCTGGGCTGTAGAGTCCTGGACTGAAAGGTGCTGGGCTGTATGGAGTGTATGCCTCATATCTTTCTGGTGGAGGGGAAACTATAGGGCAATTAATTAGTTCACCGGGTCAATGAGACAGGCTATGGTATTTTCTTCTCTTACGTTCAGGCTCTGGTGGAGCACAAACATGATCGCCCATCATGGAAATCTCAACCTCCCGACTACATGACGAGCATTTGATAGTCGGGAGAAACATTGATTCTCGTGGTAGAGCCATGGTGGCGGTGTGAGTTGTGGTGTTGAAGAGGAATAGGAGTAATCCAGTTTATCAATGCCAGGCCGAAAGAAGAGCAATTGATTTGTCACTTTGGATTTCTTTAAAAGACCTTGGACAATGTGACGTATGAAAGGCCTTGCTGCGGTTGTTTCAAAAGATGACGCTTGATGTAAGACCTTTTACATTCGTACCCCAGGCCCGTTCTGCGACCGGTGTCCCTGGGGTTGGTGACGTGAATTGAGGATGCCAAAAGTCTGTGCAGTAGCACTTTTTTTCGATCGCATGGAGAGTCGTGTTGCTGTAGCGCTGGTTATTCTATTGGTTGTGCCGTGAATAGAATCGTCGCGAGGATTTATCGTCAAGTCGGGTTCCAGTCGAACTAGGTCCAGGTTGCTTCCTTGGGTTGATGTGCTGCCGGAGGAGAAGAGAGGCCCGGCCAATCTGCGATTGATGAATTGATTGTGCGTGTTACAAGTGAAGGATTTCCCGTTGAAAACCTGACAGGAGCAAGAAAGAAAGAGAAGAGAAGAGGTCAAAGAGTCGAAACACGAGACTAAAACATCTGCGACGTGAAAGGAATAGAAAGAAGATCAGGTGTCGACTTGAAGAAAGGGACGATGCGATGCATATGGTGTCTCGAATGTGGAGGGAGAAGTGGGCAACTTAGGTTGAGTAGGTAGGTGCTCTGGTGCTGTAGGAAAAGGGACCGGGACCCTTGACTTTAGGTACTGCAGGTAGGCACCTCCACTGTACCTAGACTAGGTAGATCCACTAATAGCCCGGCTCCTTAGGTATGCTAGGCTTGACTTGAATTGCAGGCTGACCCTTGTGCTTGTGCTTCTGCCCTTGTTGGCTAATAAGTTAACAAGTCCGTAGTGTGCAGCCTAAGGTAATGAAGACACAGAGAGACCCTGGCTTGGTGCAGTACACACACTAATAAGAGAGAGGTGCAGAAATAAGAGGTGGACGGCTCGCAAAGTGACGGGTTTACGGTGGGTGCGGTGTGGAATAAGTAATCGAACACAACCACCAACCGGAGCAATGTGAGCATCTTTCTTGAATCTCCAAGGCTCCTTGTCTGCCTTTGACAGCTTCATTCAGCTGTCTTGTCTAGTCAATAGCGTAGATATGACATACAGCTGTCCGTCTATAGCTAAACCACTCCTCTCTCACTCCCTCCCTGTCTTGTCTTGTCTTGCCTTATCTGTCCATTGTCTCCAGCTACGCGGTAACCAACGTTCCAGTAAACTTTGTGGAACCGATCAACTACACGACAATAACTCTTCCCTGGAGCTTCTGGGCCGAAATGGCGTCCAGCCAGAAGGAGGGCAGTGAGACATGACTTGCAGGCGATGAATTCGATTGTCAATCTAGAGGGAGACAGAAAACGGGGACTAAGATCTACTGCATTCCTTATCTGACCGTGTCTCGCCTGATGAGCAGTTTATTCCCATGCCGTGCACGTCTCGTGTCTTGATAGAAGGGCTAGAGGGCAACAACGTCTTTGTTCGGATTGTCCACCAAACAAGTTAGTCTGCATTAAGATAGCCAGATGCGGGAGATTTCTTCATGTCTGAAAGTTGACAGATGACAGATGCTAGTCTATGACTGGCTCTTGGCTGACGCTTTGTATAATTGCATTCAGTGTTCGCAGCTTGACAGTCTCCTGGACGCGTTCTCGAGTGGCCGAGAGCTTGCTGCTCAAGGTCAAGCTCATAAAACAGTTCCCGCAACGGCCGAACCAAAGAAAGAAGTCAGATCGAGTCCGGCCTCTTCCGAGGCGGTCATGAGAAGACGCCACAGAATGTTGGAATATTCTCTGGCCGGTTGATGCCAACCATGTTTATAGGTAGTCAACTTATGGAGGTAGAAATAAAATAAGATACCTACATAAAATAGAAATGATCCACTAAAAACCGTGGACAACTTACCCTACTCGGGTACCTTGCAGCAAACTATGGCCAATCATAGAGCTGATATGCAAGCACTAATCCAGGTAGGGATGGCCCGTTCACCGAAAGGAGATCTGCTTCATTTAACTCTGCTTCTAGTGGTGTCGAGATCCGCCTGTCAACGACTGGAACCAACCTTTGGTTGTTGCAACGAAAGGGATATTAATCAATTGATCATCCGACCTGCAACTCAATTGGATGTCTCTGAATTCCTTCAATGCTACCATGACCGAGACACTGGTCCGATTAGGCCAGGTTGAACCCAGCTGGAAATAAGGATATAAACCGCAAGCAGAAGACGCTTTATGCAATCACTGTGACTGGACCACCTATTGGATAAAGCACTGGTAAGTGATAAAGACCCCCCCGGCCTCTGGGTCCTGTATTATACCTGCCTGTCCTCATTCGGGTGATGCGCCGTGGGGGGACCATGGTAGATCTTCGTAGAATGGCCCAAATGAAGCAGGTTCCATCTCATGGTTGAACTGCAATCCAGAATCCTTAATGCAAGGCATCCATTACTTTGATGACAACGATGCCTTATCTGCACGTTCTCCCCTGTTCAACAGTCAAGAGGTAGGTGTCTTGTTTTGTCTTGCCTTGTCTTGTTGGCCGTTGTCGTTGCTAAGAAAGGATCTGCGAGGCCAAGTTCGCCAAGCGATAACTGGAGCCGGATCCAATGATCCACTGTCTCAGGTCTCTGATCGGGAGATCAAGAGTCCGTAAAGGTCAAGTCCAATAAATAATTATGGAAGTTAACAAGTCAAGTAACGTAAAGGCGAGGGAGGGCTCGACCGAAACTCAATTACAATCAGAATTAGCCCGACTGACGCCACGAATCGGCTTTAATATTCACCAGGCTGATAGGCAGTAACGCCACGATTTGACGTATGTATTAGCTTTGACTACCCCTAGCAATCACTCTTGATGGGAGAGTAAACTTTCCTTGAGCTTCTCTACATCCTACAGTCACCATATCTCTAATGAGACAATGCCTTTATATAGAGTTACCACTATACATAGGTAGCTACTATGTATCGTTGATATTGAATCACGAGATACTCAAAATAGGTCAATGATCGTCTTATCGTTTAATTGGCATTAATCAACCATTTCAAGTTTCCCTCGTCTCGTGATACGCATTTACACTGGCGCATTTACATTTCAAAACTAACGCCAGAAATCAATACGAGCCTTTGAAGCTACCGTGTCAGTTTGTTGGTAATCGACCGTTTGAACACCCTGTCATGATGCTAAATATACGGTTCATTGTTAGTGCTCGAACTAGCTAGTCATGAAGGAAAGCTTGGGTTCTCCTCTGCCCTGGCGTTGAGGGCACGTCATTTGTCGTGTGGGATATTGCATGGCTCTTGTTCATTCTGAACAGTCCAATGGCTTAATGATTTACATGATTTACAGCATCTCTGCCCATGGTAGCGGCTAACTAGAGTTATTCGTTACTGCATATTAAGGAGGTGGCTAGATTGAAGTCCTCCAGGCATGATCGACGGTCGGCTATCTGATATACGTGACCATTGCCGGATACATGGACCGCAGAAAGAGTCGCCGTTGACAATCATTATCAGCCGATATGGCTACGGCAATGCCGGATGCTCTTGAGACTGAACACCAGGCTTGAGGCGTTTCTCCAGCCATTGCTCTAGGTCTCTAACAATAAATGGTCTTAGCACCGGTATGGAAGATTTGCCTTGACCAGAACGCCAAAAATGCTCCTGGCAACTGCATCTAGGACCATGTCTCGCTCAGGCAGGCTTGGACTTCAGATTTGGAACCCTTTCAGCTGTCAAAGCTAAGGACGCGAAGAGGTATCTGTCGACCGTCGGAATGCCAGACAACCAATGCACATTGATAATGACATGGAATATGTCTATCCCCATCGCCCAGGCAATGTTTCTTATGTCGCTTTCAGTTCCGAAGCCGATCATTACAAGGAAAGTCGAATCAAGTGAAGTCATGAGGCCTCCATTGGGTGATCCTCATGAAAGGCGTTGGCTTTTGACTTTTGGCTTTTGGACCAGAACCTCTTACATTAGACGTTCGAGAGTTAGACGGTGAGAGCGGATGTGGTGGAGGGGCGATCTCAACACCACACAGAATCGCTCGCTGTAGGTGTGGATCTTCGGCTGAGCATAGTCACTTGCCTGTGACACTTCCGTGTTACATGTGAACAGGGCAGTTTCTTAACGGAACAGAAAAGACATCAATGATAGGTTTTTGACTTTGAATACAAAGGGTCTGTTCCCGTGAAGATAAACAGCACTTCTTGAGGGTTGAATTGGACTGAACTTGCTCGAATCTGCTTACAGAGAGCACTTGCGCGATATCAAGGTGTTCGGCTAGCGCTGGCTACGGTTGATGGGCTGAGGACAAACTGCATATCAAAACAGACCGGAAGAATCCCAGACGCAGATGACCTCGGCAAGCTGCAGCGATAAGATGAATGGCCAGTTGTTTTGAAGTCTCTGAAAACCCGGTCAATGCAAGTATACGTGTTTGATAGGAGTTTGTTCAGTCAATTGATATCAACCGTGAAGATCTTTTGTTGCATCCATCAGTATGGGTCTGACGACGCGGAAACAATTTGTTACTCGAGGTTTCATTGTCGAAACACTCTATGGAAACAAAGCAAAACAAAACCTGAACTGTATGATGTCCAAGTCCTGTCGTTGACAGGGCGGCTTATTCATAACCTAGAATGTTCTCGAGTCAATATTCCTCTGTGACAGTTTTTCTTTACTGCCCAGGTATGCCTATAGTACCAAAGTAAGGTGTCTAGGTGACAGTCCAGTAGTAATGATACAAGTCATCCACGGCTAAAGCGTTGATCGGTATCATCCACAAGACTCTTTACCCGTCTAGGCTCTTTCTTGGCTTGCTGCCGAATATCCCAACAAACACAGGGATGGAGATTTATATCATCACCAAAGGTTCCGGGTAGAGCCAAGCCAATCAATGAGGTTGGTACCGACAGCGCAGGACAAATTCATTGGTTGCCCTTTCACAGACGATGCCTATTGTGTAATGCCCTGCACGAGCTAATCTAGGGTTTTATTCTCTGGTGGAAGCGACCAGTCGAGAGTAATAAGTACCTCTGACAGTAGTACAGATACAGAAACCGCAGATAAACAGTCGGATGTTTTGATGATGCCAGGGGCTTAGGCCAATGGTTCTTAGATACTGACCGTACATGAGTTACTGCAGCTACATGACAGGGACAAGATGCATGAGAATGCGGTGATATCCCGAAAGTGCTTCTTGGATTGACTAACCCTAGTAGGATCTACATGTCCAATGTCAACAAACTTTTGTTATTTTGTTTCTCTGATCAAGGGTAAGTATTACAATATAGACCCTCAAAATTGAAGCTGGAGCTGCTCAGTCGAGTCCCCGCATTAGAGGAGCTACCTATCAAGTTGGAAATGTGGGAGAAAACTACAAAAAAAAAGAGGGAATTAAAACCTGGAGGATGCGGATGAGAGCTCGCTTGTTCATCTCCATGGATATCAGGTGTCCACAAACTTACAGTAGCTCACTGTTGATGCTTCCGAGCTCTCCGCCTCCCCAGCCGCTAGAATTCTACAAACCCCACTATCAACGCGTTGTGGTCCTCACCGCCCGAATGTCCACGACAACCAGCCAAGTAGAGGCTACAGTAGCGGCTCAGGTACCTGAAGCCAGGCCCAGGACCCTACCAGGGACCAAGTACACGTACGGTACATCTCTCAGGTACCTCTTTGAGATGGGATGGATGAGCTCTTCCATATTTGAACCCTCCCCATCCCCGAGCAACTCTCCCTCTTCTCTCTTCTTTTGCTTCACCAACAAACTTTGTCAACTTACAATCAGTTCAAAAAAACAAAACTCACCGAAACCTCCTTCTTCTCTACCAAAACTTCTCTTAACTTTGACATCTGTCTGCCCCAGCTACCCCGCCAAACCCAAAAAAACACCCCTCTATCAATCTTATAATAACGACCGAGGCATTGACCCTTGGTCACTACAGTCGTCAAGACGTTTTCCAATCTCCTTAACTCGTATGTTATCTCACAAAGAAAAAGGCAAAAAAGAAACATCAAGATGCTAACTCATCCCAGGACGCACCACCCGTTCGCAGGAGCCCGCTGCTCAGCCGATTCCGGAGGCTCAGCGGACTCGACCTTTGAACAGTAAAGGTCTAATCACAATCAGAAACCCGTCCAATCTCAATTAAACCGCAAACTTCCACGTTCAAGCCAATTCAAGCACCATGGCTCCTCACGCGGAAGTCGGCACGGGCTCCTCGAACGGGCCGGTATTCAACGGCCGAGGCTCCTCTGCTACTCAGGACCTCTTCACCGTCAACTCACCCAACGTCACCTATACTGATGCGGAGATCCGTTCTCGATACACCTACCGCACCACAAAGGTTGAAGTTGATGCCAACGGCAAGTATGTTGCCACTCCTAACGAGACTCTCTACGACTTCAAGGTCGACCGCAAGGTTCCCAAGGTCGGTATGATGTTGGTTGGTCTTGGAGGCAACAACGGCACCACCGTTACCGCTGGTATCCTCGCCAACCGCCGTCAGCTCGCCTGGGACACCAAGGAAGGCCCCCGCGAGTCCAACTACTACGGCTCCGTTGTCATGGGCTCAACCCTCAAGCTCGGCCATGACGCCAAGACTCACCAGGAGGTCAACATCCCCTTCCACAACATCCTTCCTATGGTCCACCCCAATGACCTGGTCATCGGAGGTTGGGACATCAGCAAGATGAACCTGGCTCAAGCCATGGACCGCGCTCAGGTCCTCGAGCCCACCCTCAAGGCCCAGGTCAAGAAGGAGATGGCTGAGATGGTTCCCCTTCCCTCCATCTACTACCCTGACTTCATTGCTGCCAACCAAGAGGACCGTGCCGACAACGTCCTCGAGGGTACCAAGGCCTGCTGGGAGCATGTTGAGAAGATCCGTCAGGATATCCGCGACTTCAAGGCCAAGAACGGCCTCGACAAGGTCATCATCATGTGGACTGCCAACACTGAGCGATACGCCGACCTGATCGAGGGTGTCAACGACACTGCCGATAACCTTCTCAAGGCAATTGAGCAGGGACATGAGGAGGTTTCCCCTTCTACCGTCTTTGCTGTCGCTTGTATCCTCGAACAAGCCCCTTTCATCAACGGCTCTCCTCAAAACACCTTCGTCCCTGGTGCCATTGAGCTTGCCGAGAAGCACAACGCCTTCATTGGTGGCGACGACTTCAAGTCTGGCCAAACCAAGATGAAGTCTGCCCTTGTTGACTTCCTCATCAACGCCGGCATCAAGTTGACTTCCATTGCCAGCTACAACCATCTTGGAAACAACGACGGCAAGAACTTGAGCTCCCAGAAGCAGTTCCGCTCCAAGGAGATCTCCAAGTCCAACGTCGTTGATGACATGGTTGAAGCCAACCACGTCCTCTACAAGAAGGGCGAGCACCCCGACCACTGCGTTGTCATCAAGTACATGCCTGCTGTCGCCGACAACAAGCGTGCTCTCGATGAGTACTACGCTGAGATTTTCATGGGTGGCCACCAGACCATTTCGTAAGTTGATGAGATATCATAGTCATGAACGATAACTGACAGCATACAGACTCTTCAACATTTGCGAGGACTCTCTCCTTGCTTCTCCCCTGATCATCGACTTGGTCATCATTGCTGAGATGATGTCTCGTATCCAGTGGAAGGCCGTGTCCTCCGATGGCACTGCTACCACTGAGTATAAGAGCTTCCATAGTGTCCTGAGTGTCCTCAGCTACATGCTCAAGGCTCCTCTGACCCCTCCTGGCACCCCCGTTGTCAACGCTCTTGCTAAGCAGCGCGCTGCCCTGACCAACATCTTCCGTGCTTGTGTTGGTCTTGAGCCCGAGTCCGACATGACTCTTGAGCACAAGCTTTTCTAGGCGCCAACGCCTGTTCTTGATGCTGTTGAAGTCGGTTACTTGGAATGAGGAGGATACTGTGGACAGTCTTTACCGGATGCTGCTCGATTTGATTTGAAAATTATAAAATCAAAAAAGTAAAAAAATGGAGGAGAGATGAAATACTTTCACAGTCATAGCTATCTAATTGAATGTGCCATTCTCCTCAAGACTGATTTCCATAATAAAGCGTGATGGTGATGGTGATGGTGACCTTGATCATTCATATCCAGTGAATTCTTTGTACTGTGTCTGGTATTGAATTCGGTTGACAGGCCAATCAATGATGTAAATTTGGAGAGTTTAATTGACCAAGATCGTCACTTTAGACAGGGGTGTTAATTGAATTTTACGTGGTTAGAAGCGACTTTACGCGGGACTGATGCGCTGTAACGCGTCTCTCCACGCCAACGCCTTTGATGGCCCGCGCGTCGCGTAATGAAAGCTCCCCACTACCACTTAGACATCCATCCATATGCTCTCTCTTAGCCTTTCCACATTAACATCCTCTCATCAAATCTAGAATTTCTGAAGCAACTATAAATTTGTTATTATTCTATGTTTTTGTTGATTCTTCTGACCATACAACTCATATAAAACCATTGCAAAGGCAAAAGCAATGGCTACCGCCTCTCGCGCTTCTACCCCCGTATCTTCGGGCGGATCTCCCGAGCAACTCTCACCAGCCTCCAGATTCAAGGCTCAGATGGCAGCTATCGACGACAGTGACGGTGAAGAATCACCTTTGAGAAAGACCAGCAAGGATATCTTCACAAAACACTCCGACCTACCACAACACACACAACAAGAAGACGCGTCTGATGAGCCGGAAAAGGAGGATGTCGACAGACCCCGAGGCACGCTTGCGGCTAGGATGCAAGGCATTACCCGACCAGTGCAATCAAAAGATACCGATAAACAGAACGAAACTGCCCGAGATCGTGTAAAGAAGAAGCTCGAGCAGGAGGAGAAGGAGGCTAAGAAAGCGGAGGAAGAGCATAATTCAGACATGCCCGATGCTTCATCAGAAGATGAAACTCCCGTGGTACGCCGAAGACGGATCCGCCACGTTCCCTCATCACCGGCCGCCAGAAATACATCACGCGAACCCAGCCCAGGACTCTTTGTATCACCAGCAAAGCCGATACAAAACAACTCGGATTCCGATGGGGATCTCCCTGCAATCAAATCGGATAAAATGGCAGCGCAGGTTAGGCGCCTAAAAGAGAAGAAGAAAGCTGAGGAAGCCGCCAAAGAGGCCAAGCGGGCAAAGCAACAGGGAATTGAGCAGATGGCATCAGGCAGTGATGGTTCCGGCATTACTGACGATGAGGGTGGGCGCCGCCTGACACAAACCGAGCGACCAAGTGCCCGAAAAGCAAGCAAGAAGGCAATTGAGGAAATGAACAGAGAAACTCAAAGAATGTCAAGAAACATGCAATTGAAGCATGAAGCGAAGACACGAAAGAAGATCTCCAAAAATAGCTTGTTTGAGCGATTCAATTTCAGGCCGGCAGGCGTACCAGAACCCAAGGCTGCTAGCTCGAGTAGGGGACCGACGCCTCACAGCGACGTTGAAATGCAGGATGCGGATACACCTCCCAGTTCGCCGCCTGTTTCCAAAGAAACTGCCGATGCAACTGAGCCAGTTCCTGAGACCAACGACTGTGACTTGCCAGCAATAGACAGCCTCGCCGAGACAACCAAGCTCAAGTTGAACAAGGGTAAAGGCAAGGCCGTTGAACCACCAAACGAACAAAAGCAGCCAGCCCAAAAACCCAAACGCCAATTCCGAGTCAAACTTCCACCAGTTAAAGCCAATGCTGCCCTGGTGGACTCGGATGACGAGTTGGAAATCACGACAACGACCAAAGACAAAATCCGAGCTGTGTTCGACATGGTCCCCGTCAAGAAAGCTCAAGAGCACAACTCTGCTCAGGCCCTGCGCGCTCTTGCACAAGTCAAGTCTCCCGGTAAAGAGATCCGTCGAAAGAACGATAATCATGGCATGACGCACGGCGAGCTACAGATGTACCTTCAGCAAAAGGCTCGACAACAAGCCAAGCTGGAGCGTGACCGCAGACTTGACATGCTGAAGGCACAAGGTGTGGTTATCCAAACCGCCGAAGAGCGCGAGCGCCAGATGCAGGAGGTTGATGATATCGTTGCCAAGGCCAGGGAGGAGGCCCGAAGAATTATGCAAACCGAGCAAGCAGCCGCCAAGAAGGAGAAGAAGGAAAGCGGTGAGGTTGATCCCCTGGCTTGGGATGATAGCGATGATGAGGAGTATCAAGCATCCGCTGATGAAGCCGATGGAGAAGTGTCGGCAATCGAATTGTCCGGATCAGAAGATGAAGGAGACGACGAGGACGATGAAGCAGACGGTAACCCTATGGTCGAGGGGGAAGCTGAAGATGGAGAATCAGAGGCTTCTGCTGGCGAAGAGGACGATACAACTCCTATCGCCAGTCAAGATGTTCATGACGACGCCGATGAGCTCCCAGTGGCGAGCAAACGACGAATCCGGAAGCCCATTGTTCTCTCTGATGGTGATGATGATGATGAAGAGGACTCGGTTGAGATGACGCCAAAGTCCAAACCCCAAGCTGCTGTACACACATCGCCTACAGTACCCAATACCCAATCTCCTACGGCACCAAGATCGGTGCTACGTTCCGCCAAGAAGAATTTCATTCCTGGTCTTCCTGTACAAGGAGCAGCTGGCCTTGGCCTTACTCAGATCTTTGCCGGCACCATGGATGACAGCCAAGTAGATGTCGCCAACGGCCCAACCCAGTCCATGATGCCAGACTTCGACCATTTTCCCGACTCCAACTTTTCTGCGACGATGGATGAGCCTATGGAAGACATGATTATGGACAGTCAGAAGGGCGATACACAAAAGATGACTCAAGGTGTGAACCTCGACTTCTCTCAATCTCAGTTGCGCAGTCTTGACAGCCTGCTACGAGAGGATAGCACACAGATCTCTGATGCGATGGATTTCACTCAGGATGAGGGTCTCCAACATCAAACACCCCTGAAGGACAGGTTTATCGAGGCTCCGGCTTCTACCGTTGAGACAACGGTAGTCGACCATGAGGACCCAACACAAGCTTCACCACTAGTCCGCCGTGGCCGCCTTCGTCGCAGAATGGATACATCTGAGCGCATTGAAGAAACTCCTGAGCCAACAGCCGCAGAAAAGTCAAACAGCGTTTTTGATGTGCTCAAGGAGGGAGCTAAGCAAGACAAGCAGAAACGAATTCGGGCAGAATTCGACCACAAGAACAGTAAGGCCAAGGAGATGATCCATGAACAGGCCGAGGAATCGGAGGATGAGTACGCTGGTCTAGGAGGCGCAGATGGCGAAGACAGTGACAACGAATCCATCGCCTCGCTCAAGGAAATCATCGACGACGCTGCCGGCAACGATGTTGATGAAGCCAAACTCGCCGCTTTCTATGCGTAAGTACTGCCCATTCGTCACATTTAACAGAAGCCTAACATTTTATAGTGATCGAGAACGTGTTGAGGATGAGAAGCAGGTCGAAAAGCTTTTCAAAGACATCACAACTGGTATGCTTCGTCGCAAGCGTGGCGCGGGTTATGATCTCGACGACTCAGATGATGATGGCGAGGCCCGTCGAAAGATGAAGCGTCGGCAGTTCGCCAAGATGCAAAAGGCTCTGTTTGCCGATGAGCGTGTCAAGAAGATTGCTGAGAACCCTGGTAACCAAGCTTTCCTCAAAACCATCGAGGATAGAGGCAGTGATGACGAGATGGACTTTCTGGATGCTCCGGAAGAAACCAATGATCCCTCGCAATCTCAGTCACAGGATGAAGATGGCAGCAAGGCCCAGGATGTCTCCAACAGTCAATCCCAAAAGACTCCTGGCCCTGCGGATAACAGGGCCCCTGCCCATCTGCGTAGAACCAAGGATGGCAAGAAACCTTCCAACCTTGGTGAAGTACGCGAGACTCTATCTGAATTGCTTGAAGAACCCCACGGTTCTGTCATTCCTGCTACCGAGGCTGGATCTGACAGTGAAGGCGAGGTGGAAGCTCCCACACAAGCTCCTAGCGATAAGGAGAACAATGGATCCAACCCTCGTCGTGGTCGCGTTGCAGTTGTTGATCGTATTACACTGAAACGCAACAGCTCTTCCAATGTCAGCACTGGCCGACTTGCATTTGCAACAACATCGAGCTCTTCTTTCAAGGTACCAGCGCTTCTGCGCCGTGCAACAACCAACTCATTTGTTTCTGGCACGACTTCAACCACCAGCCCCAGCCCTTCAACCCCAGCAAGTGGGTTCGGAGAAGGAGCCACGATCAAGAAGGGAGCCAGCAAGAAGAGTGGCGTGCATGCTTTTGCGCGCGACAGCGAAAGACGAGCAAAGCTCGAACAGAACGAGCGAAAGAGAGAGGAGAGGAAGGTTAAGGGGGCGGAAAGGCGAATTGGAGTCGTGGGTGGTTTGCTGGCAAAGGGATCATTTGAGTAAGGCTGGCACGGAATGGAGTTTAGGTTTATGTGAACGGGATATTCTGAGGATTAAATATGCATGGCGTTTGGCTTAGGCATCGATACGGAAGCTACCATGGCATTGGTATCTCGTAGTTGAACATATTTATTCATTGACATATTTTCTAAGCAATTGTTATCCGCTTATCGGTCCACTGTGTAAGAAACCAAGTTTATATGCCATTCATCCAATCCCTTCAAATACGTAGTAGTATGAAAGCCACATTAAGGATCGCTGATGCTTCCATGTTTTGCTATAGCACTCGAGATACTGTGATTGATAGTAGCTCGGATTCTGCCTTAACCGACATCTTGTAGTCGTCACTGCAGGCTTTTCAAAGGTCCAGACCTGGGCATGATCGATTCAGAAGGGTTTCTTTCTCTCTTGTTGCCTTTGCATTTATGAGTCATATGTCATGGACACTGGCTACCATAGATTATATCGTCCGTCTCAGTGTGCATCACGGCAAGTAGATGGACTGTAACTCCTTCACATCCAGATCAAGAACAAATCCTATCTAAGGAGGCATGGCGAGGTAGTTCTTGACCGATTGGATCCTTTAGCCAACTACTCATCTGGTCCCGATGCCTGCATTTGCAAATCTTAACTATGCTGTAAAGATAACGAGAGAGAAACCTCAGAGACGCACCGTATAAGAATATTGCCTCTATTGATGATCGACCGCCTAGCTCGGTAGATTACGTACGCTCTATGTCAATATGTCTTCTAATTCATTACTATCACCTTTGGAACGCCGCCCCCGAGAACTCTCCGCTTCCCAGACCCAACGTCCTTTTCGTAAACAGCCACAGCTCAAAGGCCTCCAGCTTAATCTCAACTCGCATGAAACCAACCCACGCGGCAACTACTCGTACAACGTTCAGAGGCCAGAAGAGTGACCCGTTTTGGCTGATCTCTTCGAGCTTCTCGTGGAATACAGTCTTTGTGCAGTATCTTGCCAGAATCATAAAGGAACGAATAGGACCTTGACGAGTTTGAAGGTTCTCGTCTAGGCTGCGAGTTAAGTCGTTTGTCTTGAGGATCAAAAGGATGATTCGAGGGACACGGCTGAGGAGCTGGACAAGATCGACGATCAAGCCTTCCTGCAGAGCGCCACTCATTGTCTTTTGTTCGTCGGCAGTCCTATTCTCGAGAATAGATCCAGACTTGCTGACAATGCTGTAATCCCGACCAGTGATGGCTGAGGCAAAGAGAGGAAAGTCCTTGTCCTCAATACCAGCAACTTCGTGTGCGTACTTCTTCATGCGATCCATGTCACCATCAATGACCGCAAGCCACATCTTAGCATATGACCTTCGCATGGGAAGTTCAATATCGCGATACAGACCATGATCGTACAATATGACATCGAAGTTTGGCCCACGTCCAAGACCTCGTCGACTGGTGTTCTTGCGGATAGCAATGTTGCCGCCATGAGGGTCGCAGTGTAGTGGTGCCCCATCACCAAAGATCATTTCGTTGAATATGCGGGACAAGGTAGCCGAGACCTCATCACGATCAATTCCGCTCTTATCGAGGTACTCGAGATCGTCAAGACGATTTCCGGCTTCACAAGCCATGACGATGATACGCTTCTTGGCCCAAATGACCTCGGGGATGATCAGTGGTAACTGCGGTATCTTTGCAAAGTGCTCCCTCATTCGACGGGCATTGTCAGCCTCCTCCTGGAAGTCCAACTCCTTGGGAAGGGAAACATCCATCTCGGATGAGAGCCACTCGAGGTCATACTCTGGGAAGAATCGCTTCAATGTCGAGAACGTATACCGGGTCAAAGCAAGATCCAGAGGTGCCCAACCTTCTAGCTCAGGATGCTGAACCTTGACCGCAACCTTTTGGTCTAGTCCCTTGATGGTTGCCAAGTGCACCTGTGCTAGGGAAGCGGCCCCAATTGGCTCAGAAGCGAAATCGGAAAAGTAATCCCAAAGTTCCTCTCCAGTATCCTTGCGAAACATGTCCTCAATTGATTCAAGAGACGACACGGGGCACTGGTCCTGTAGTGGGATAAAAGTGTTTGTCCACTCAGAAGGCAGGAGATAGTTCATGGCGCTCTATATAGTTGTCAGCGTAACTACTCCAAATCCTTTTGAGTCAAGGTGGGATCCGTACGAGATGTTGACCAAGTTTGATAAAGATGCCTCCATTCTTTTCCAACACAACCAGGGTTCGTTCGGCGCATCGTTTGTGACATGCTTTCAACATGTTCTCCTGTTCGTCATGATCCTCGGTCGTTTCTCTTGTGTTTAGTGTCGTTCGATAACTATCAAGAATGTCAGCTTCATCTCCTCCAGTGGCAAGTGGCAACATACTCGTTGATACACACAGCGAGCGCAACCGCAACTCTGCCTGTGCGCTCCGCTGCTTCATAACTGCTCTTTATATCGTCTGTGAAAGCAAGAGCGGTTGCCCCTATTGTTCCAACACCGGCCGAGGCATACAATAGAGGCCGTCTGGGACCCGACCTATGGCCATTGCTTCCCCGCGAGCCTTTCCTCGAAGCAAATCCCCTTGAGGTAATGTGCTTTAGAGGTCTGCTTCGAAGCAATTGGCCTCTACAAGTCGAACACGTCCATGATCGAGTGGCGATACGGCTCGCAAAGGAAACAGAAAGGGTGTTCATCTGGCCGCTGAGGGGCTTTAACAGGTTAAGGTATTAAGGAGTAAAATGTAGGTACTCATTCTATAACAGAAGCCAAGTATCCGGCGGGAAAGAAATGAACATGTGTCTGCACTGTTACAGAACTCAGAGTAAGTCAAGTCAGTCCAATGTCGTCAACCAAAACCAAGGCAAGTCAACAGTTTTTTTGCTTGGATGTGCCGATTCCGATAAACCTCCGTCCGCCCAGGCCCATCGCTCGGTTTGGCCCGGGTGCGATATTCGGGGGGCGAATTGGCCACCCGCCCCGATAAGATTAGGTGAGTAGCCGCCGTTGTCTTCACGTGATCGCGCGACCGCGACTCCCGTCCCTTCGCGTCTACAGTAAACCTCTTTACACGAACACGCCTCTCATCAACGCACCGAGCTCTTACACCATTCAAGACCCCCCCACTCGACATTGTCCTCAACGTTGTATATTCCTCGATTCTATGCAACAGAAGACTCACAACAACACAGCGGAAAATATGCTGTCTTTTGCTCCTACCCCCATCTTCTCTGGCACTTGGGACCATCGTCCTGTCGTCTCATCGCCGCTCTCTTCTTCACCCGTTCGCGCGTCATCGCCACTTTCCCCCATTGACCGGAACGCGAATTCTCAACGACAAGTTCAGTCTTCTCCCATTAAACCCCCCAAATTCAAGTTCGCTTCGCGTCCTACACGGCCCAATCCCCTCAATCGCAAACGAGAGGAGGTACAAGACGGCAGGCGAAAGCAGTATCTTCAGAATGTCAAGCAAGCCCGTGAAGATAAGGCATGGCAACGACGAGATATCGAGGGACAAGTAAGATGGAAGCCTTCACTTCCTATATCGCTTTTACTAACAGTAGCTTTAGTTTTTGAAAACGAATTACCTAGCCGATAGAGGACAGCTGTCACATGATGCCCCCGAGATCACCGAAGCAGACATAGAAGAAGCCACGACTTTTTACCAAGAACATCCTTCGGTCCCCGAAGAGGATGAGATGGTGATGGACGAGGAAGAGCAGTTCGAAGCCATGCTGGCATCTTATGAAGATCAGCATACGGCTCCTTTGCAGCGAGCACCATCGCCTGCGCTCTCAGATGAAGACTATGACGACGTCTTTGCTGAACTTATCGCGCAAGAACAAGCATGGCAAAGCACAGAATTACAGCCACAAGACCAAATGGACACTTCTGGTGATATTGAGATGCAATAGCGAGCTTGGGGTATATGTCGTCTTTTCAGTGCTTTAACATTTACCACGTTTGGTGTTGGGGTTAATCGGAACACGGGGAAGCGATACGGCGTTTGGGAAATTCCTGTCACATATCATCTGACGTGTACGGCTATCATTTTGATAAAGGGTATATATAGATGGCTCGGAGGGCATCCGGGCTCGGTATCTACTGAGGGTTGCAGGTTTCATCTCCTGGGTTGAGAGCGTCTTGAGCTGATTGCATGTCGCCAACTAGATCAGAGGGTGGCGATCCTGCTGCTTGCATCTGCGTGGGTGGTCAGTGGCTACAAACTTGTTGGAGAGAACGCAAAATGAACACACCTTCTGCATCTTGTCCACGATAAACTCGCGATCTCTCGCATTAGAATCCGAGTAAGTCTTTTCTTCGAACTTGGCCACAATCTCACGCACAATGGACTGTTGTTCTTCGTAACGCTTCAAATCGTCCTTGGGTGTAGAGTCACGGTTTTTAATCAGCCACTCTGGGAACTTTTCATCAAGCTCCTTCATCGGCTCATAAAGAATTTCCTTATTGGTGAGTTGCTCCATCATGCCCATGAGCATTTTGGAAAATTCCTCTTCACTGCCCTCGCCTCCTAGATCGCCAAGATCACCCGAGGACAGCTGCTTGAGCATCTCAGACATGAAGTCATCGGCGGACCCTGAGGCAGCGGCGGCTGTAGCTTGATCCCCCGACGCTTGCATTCTTTCCATCGTCCGCTTGATTTTATCTTGGAAGGAAGCATCTTCGGGCGGTGCTTGGGACGCTGGCTCTTTTGACGAGCTTGGAGGTGGCACATCGCCAGCCCCTTCTGCCGCAGCGATGTGCTTAAAGATATCTTCGAACTGAGCTTGCATGTCGGGCTGAAAAGGGTCAACACTTATTTTGAGTCAGTTGTTTGTGGTACGATAAAACTTACAGACTGCCCAAGTTCGCCTAGAAGATCAGCCATACCAGCTTGTAATTGCTTTGCAAACTCTTCTTCTGAAAAGGCATCCTCAACTTCGGGCTGCTTGCCAGAAGGTGCTGGGTTTTTTGGAACTTCCGGTTTACTGGAAGCCGCAGTTTCGGCAGGCTTGGGCTGATCAATCTTGACGGTAGAGAACTCGTCCAGCATATCTAAGACGAATTAGCAAACAAGCATATATCGCCATTTCCTAAAACCCACCATCGAGGTCGTCCAGATCATCCTCGTCGGGGTCTGGGACATCCTCAAAATCGTCAACGGGCTTGGCCGTTTCAGCTGTAGGAGCCGGAAGAGTCTCAGCCTTTTCCACAACGGCCTCTGTAGCAGCTGCCGCAGTCACCACTGCTACGGCACTGAGAACAGCGGCAGCTTGTTGAGGAGCATCCTCTCCGGCAGTTTCTTCTTTCTTAGTATCCTTATCAGGAAGAGATTCCTTGATAGTGGCGTCTGGAGGGGCGGTCTCTTCAGATATGGACTTTTTGGACGCGATCTCTTCGGCAGTGGTGGCTGGTGCCGTACTCTCTTTGTGAGAGGCTTCCGGAAAGGCGGAGTCGTGTGCAGCTGTCGTAGGTATTTCTTGAACAACTGCACCCGGAGAAACTTCCTGGGAAACCGCCTTGGCTGGCCCTTCCACCGAAGCAGGAGCGACTGATGAGGGAACAAGCACCGGAGGGTCAGCGGCTGGGACATCAGGCATGTGAGTGTCAGCCGAGGCGGGAGCAGCAACATTCTCGGCCTTGATATTCTTGATGTCCTCAGACTTGTCCTCCTTCAACTCATCCTTGACATCAGCCTGAGCAGCTTCCGTAAGCTCTCCCTTGACCTCTTCCTTCAAGGCGACTTCTGCGTCCTTTTCCGTACTCATGATGCTCAAGCTTGTTTGTTTTACCAACACAACTCACTTACTCACCCCCACTTATGCCAACGGACGTGGGTGAAGTAAGACTGTTAAGTCGGCAGGTTTTAGTTGTTGTCGTTTTTGTAAAAAGATGCTAGGTAGAAGACTTCGTAGTCAAACGAAGCTCTGTTGTGTAGAAGCCAAGTGAAGTGGAAGGTGATGTAGAATGATAGTCTACCGCTTGACGGTACGTGGGCAAGTGAACGGATAGATGCCCGCTTCCAGCTTAACTGTGCCGAGGTGACCTATGATTATGTCCCGACTGGCGTTAGGTCCAGGTGACTGCCATCCATGCCATGGATGCCCAGACGGTCGGTCCATCTTTAGGTACACAACATAAGCCCCGTAAAGATGAATTAAATAAACAAATAGTATGCCTCCCACGGCGCGCTCAAGCCGACTTCTTATTTTGTCACTCTCCCTTCCATGTGCTTAGAAACGGGCGCTCATAGAAGCCCCTCACTAGAAGCTTAGGGGCTCACCCCGCCACGCCAGCGCTGTTTCTGCTCCTGAAGAAGCCTAACAACCCCCAGGCGGGTTTCCCGAACGGAAACCTAGGCTACCTATAGGTCACCTAGCGTCCGTACTTCTCGACCAACGAACAGTGAGCATTGGCCTGTGCCTGTGCATCTAAGCATCAACAAAGACGTCGTTCTGTGAATTGCACATCCGCGCAAACATCATCAGGCTCCGCCTGCGTCTCCTCACGCATTTCTTTTCTCCCTTTTCCGACAACCCACCTACCTGGCTATCTACATCGCCTCGTGCTCAGCAACGTGACCCTTCGTCTGTATCATAATTTAATTACTACGGTCCAGCTTTTCGATCGCGCGACCCTCCGCTCTCGATTATCTCCTCTTCAACTTCAACAGCCCCTTTCCATCCCGTCGCGACCGATCTCTCTACAGGACGAACTATGGCGCTGTGTCAAAACAGACTGCAAGAGGAAAGGTGAGACTGTCTGCAGCTTGTGTTGACATTGGATCATACTGAGACCAGGCAGGAAGCAGTGGCGACGAGATCATCCTTTCGGGTTCTACGCCAAGCCTCTGCGCACCAAGGAAGGTGTTCTCGATGTCAAGAACTGGGAATGTGGGATCCCTGGAAAGGACAATACCATCTGGGCTGGTGGTCTTTTTAAGTTGACTATAGCTTTTCCTGACGGTGAGACCAACAGACACAACCAACTTGTGATATTGACCTGTGCTAACTTTTCCCAGAGTACCCCACGAAGCCTCCCAAGTGTAAGTAGACACGACGATGTACGATCGATCAAGAAGAGCCTTTCACTAATTTATGATCAGGCAAGTTTGTCCCCCCGCTATTCCACCCGAATGTTTACCCTTCCGGCACCGTCTGCTTGTCCATTCTCAACGAGGAAGAGGCATGGAAGCCTGCCATTACTGTCAAGCAAATTCTACTTGGTATTCAAGACCTCTTGAACGACCCAAATCCCGAGTCTCCGGCTCAGGCGGATGCGTACAATCTGTTCAAGAGAGATCGCGCCGAGTACGAGAAACGTGTCCGTCGTACAGTCCGCGAAAACCCTACCCCTTGAGCATCTACTGCAAGCTCTTGGCATAGAGGCTATATAGACGAAATCTTTCTTTGTGCGGAACCTCAGGCTATGGCGTTAAGGGATATACCAAGGGGAAAGTCACCTGGAACTCATGGGAGGGGGTGCAGGAACCCCGGGAGCATGGATATGTGACACGGCATGATATGAGGCGTGCGAGGATTTGACGAGGAATCGGTTGTTAAGAAGAGGTTTTATACTGCACCTCGAACAGGGACCAAACCCGAGCCACTACAGGAGCATGTTCCATTGAGATTAAACAGAGTCTTTGCCCTTTCACTGGATGCTACATCATACCGGCACTTGTCGGTTCATGCGCTCCGCGATCTTTGTCGGCGAGTGATTCATTCTGCGGCTGCGTTGTCGGAACGCCCCACTGATCCAGTCTTGATCTTCCAGAATGGGAAGTAAGACAATACTGTAACTTAGATGTCATTCATGCTGATCAGCTAGGACAGAAGAGCGTGTCAGGAGAATTGGTCGCCAAGAGCATAAAAGACGAAATAATTCGTTCACCTTGTGCGAGCTTAGGTCAGTAGTAAGGCTACTTTATTTACGTAGCCTAACTTAGAGAACAATTCTTCTGGCACCTATCAGGCAATAGAAGCAGCAGCAGTTGTAAAGCGCATACCCGTTGTATTCCCCTTATCAAAGTCCTTAATCCAAAGTTTATTCAAGTTATGTAATTTACCCAAACTTATGGGCTTGTCATACGGGCCACCAATGATGTCTGCCGAATTGCAAGCCGAAGTCGGCCGTTTGATTTGCTCACACCTCTAAAAAAAAGTTTTTGGCTTGGCCTGGTTCGATGGCCTGTTATCTATCAACGGACAGCTTCTTCCGTGGATATAAGGTCAAGTACCAATGGTTCTTGAGGCGAGACATGATGGAGTGTATAGAATCAGGAAGACCGTGGCAATTTGCAGTACTGCCTAGTCAATTTAGCATCTTACTCAATGGATGGATGTCAGTCACTATGGCAGTGGAGAGAGATGCTCATCGCGTCCGCAGCGGAGCCTCCTGTGGATAGATACATAGACTTAACGAGCCAGAAGGCGTCCCTGACAGGACTGGTTCAGTGGCTCTGACCATAACCGCTAATAACCTTGCGCCTTCCGGGCAGATAGAGGTACCTGCCTAGGTGTGGAAAGCAGATGGTAGGTATGACCTAGTCACTGCACTTATCGCCTGTGCCGGCGGAAAGAGGGAGGGTGGAGTTTTGCTATGACTCCTCTTTTTTTCCTCTTGGGTTGTTGCTGCTAAATATTAATCTTGCTTGTCCCATTCCTTTCCCTCCCTCATACCATCCTCTGTCAAACATTTTTTTTTTTCTAATACACACTTCTGCAACCGCAAATATGTGTGGAATCTTCGCCTGTCACCGGTACGCTCTTACCCCTTGCGAACATGAACATGGATCTCTATCTGGCGTCCTTGGAGGGGCAAGGCATGGGGGGCTTCAGAACCCCGCCATGAAATGAATTGGAATTGGGACTGCGATCACCCCGCGGTCGGAGGGGAAAAGTTGTTACTAGATCATGGCGTGACTAACATTCTGCGATCTCTCAGTCATCCCGACGTGGAAAAGTTCAAGCCCACGGCTTTGAAGCTTGCCAAGCAGTATGTGCGCCAATTGCCATTCCAGACTTTCTTGAAACTGACTTATCGGCGCAGAATTCGTCACCGTGGCCCCGACTGGAGTAAGTGAAAACAACGGCCGGATCGTCGCCCTCATGGGACCGCGAGTACTAAAGTCGCAATTCCAGGTGGAAGTGTTATTTCCAACCATACCAGTATGTCAATGAACCCCTGAGAATCACACGCCCTCGTGTCTGACTCTCAAACTAGTTCTGTGCCATGAGCGCCTTAGCATTGTTGGTGTTGGTAAGTCGCAAGCTCTTGCACCTATTCGGAGTCTCGCGACTGATAAAGCTTCCAGAGTCCGGCGCTCAGCCTCTGACCAACGCCGACGACAGCATCATTCTCGCTGTCAACGGTGAGATCTACAACCATCGTCACATTCGAAAGCACCTCAAGGAGCGATACCACTTCAAGACTACCTCTGATTGCGAGGTCATCATCCCCTTGGTAAGAGGAGCACTTGGTTCATGACTAGAAGAGCACAGATCTGACAACGGATACATCGCAGTACACCGAGTTTGACACCGATGCCCCCAACCACCTCGACGGCATGTTCTCTTTTGTTCTCTACGACAAGAATCAAGACCGTACAATTGCTGCTCGCGACCCTATCGGCATCACCACCTTCTACCAGGGTTGGTCTTCCGCTGAGCCCGGAACCGTCTACTTCGCCTCCGAGTTGAAGTGCCTGCACAGCGTCTGTGACAAGATTGTCGCTTTCCCCCCTGGCCACGTCTATGACTCCAAGACTGGTGAGACCACTCGCTACTTCAACCCCTCTTGGTGGGACCCCAAGAAGGTTCCCAGCACCCCCGTCGACTACAAGGTCCTCCGACAAGCCCTTGAGAAGTCCGTCCGAAAGCGACTCATGGCTGAGGTGCCTTTCGGTGTTCTGCTTTCTGGCGGTCTTGACTCTAGCTTGACGGCCTCTATCGCTCAGCGTGAGGTGACCCGACTTCGAAAACAGGCTCTTGAGGCCAACGGCAACGTTCTCCCCGTTGAGGACCCTGACACTGGCGAGGGTCTTGTTGGTGTTGACGATGACGATCACCTCGACACTCTGACCTACCTTCCTCAGCTCAACTCCTTCTCCATTGGTCTGCCCGGCTCTCCCGACAATAAGGCTGCTCTCGAGGTCGCCAAGTTCCTCGGAACCAAGCACCACGTTATGACCTTTACCATTGAGGATGGTCTTAACGCCCTCTCCGATGTCATCTTCCACCTCGAGACTTACGACGTCACTACCATTCGAGCCTCTACCCCTATGTACCTGCTGTCAAGAAAGATCAAGGCTATGGGCATTAAGATGGTTCTGAGTGGAGAGGGCAGCGATGAGATCTTTGGCGGTTACTTGTACTTCCACGCTGCTCCTGATAAGGAGTCCTTCCACGAGGAAACCGTGCGCCGTGTAAAGAACCTGCACCTGTCTGACTGTCTGCGAGCCAACAAGTCCACATCCGCTTGGGGTCTCGAGGCTCGTGTTCCTTTCCTTGACAAGGAGGTAAGTTGATCTCCCTTGAACCTCAGCTCAGCAGAGTGCCCAGTGCTAATGAACCAAACAGTTCCTTGAGTACTCTATGAACATTGACCCTCAGGACAAGATGATCACCAAGGAGAAGCTCGAGAAGTACATCGTCCGCAAGGCTTTCGACACTTCGGACGAGCCTGATGAGAAGCCTTACCTTCCCGATAACATCCTTTGGCGACAGAAGGAACAATTCTCCGATGGTGTCGGCTATGGTTGGATTGATGCTCTCAAGGACACTGCTGAGAAGCAGGTCACAGATGAGATGATGAAGAATCCTAAGCCTGAGTGGGGTAACGATATCCCTGATACCAAGGAGGCGTACTGGTACCGATGCATGTTTGACGAGCACTTCCCCCCTCACTGCGCGTCAACTGTCATGCGCTGGACTCCCACTTGGTCCAAGCAGACTGACCCTAGTGGCCGGTAAGTGACATCCATGCAAAGAAAGAAAGAGCGTTTATTAATATCTTTACAGAGCCATCTCCACCCACAACGCCAAGTATGACAGCGCGGCTTAATGAAATATCGAACCGAGTAAAACACCAAGCAGAGAAGACTTGGTTGACTCATTGTAACCTACACTATCTGAGGTATCTGCCATGAAACCGGTCTGAAGAGCAACTCTGTGTGTCGTTTCTTGGAAATAGAGAAAAAGGCGTCTGGGATTATTGCTTACATACCTCGGAATGATGATAACTGTAAAAAGACGGATGATTTGGACATGGATATGGGAATGACGAATAAAGACAAGAGACAAAGGTTCTAGAAGGGAATCAAGAATTGCATTATGTGCATGTCAATGCGAGTGTTGGTGAATGCTAAGCATATGGCCAATGTTTGACTTTGTGTCATGAGTTGGTTATGCATGAAGGGTCCTCATGATAAAGCAGTCGGATAGAAATGGGTGTGTATGAACTGACCAATAGGCGAGCGATATTCTTCGACGTGGTCCTCGATCAAGTTTGTCAATGCCGCGACGTTTCAATCAACATGAATGGCAGTCACATACCTTGGTAGTTAAGTTATGGGCTAGTTAGAGGAGACACGTTTGGCCTATGGGGTCACATGAGTTGTTAGTGTCTGAGCTGTTCATGCGTCGATGAAATGCAAGCTAGAAGTGGAATAATCAAAGTACATACTGTCTGTACTCTGGTTTATGGGCATAATGGCACTCGTTGGGCAGCGAGTTGTGTTAATGTTGGACCTGTCTGAATGGGACAGGGCCCATATAAGTTAAGTCGAGAGAGGATTAGGTACAGTAGAATCATGATAATGGTACAGAGTAGATGGATGAGCTGTCATCCAATTGTCTTGTTACCATTTTGGTTGACCATCTTTTTGTCCAAGTACTAAGGTACTAAGCAGGATGCTGTCTATCCTCCACGTGGGCCCTGATCCTGGGGAACCTTTAAATTACTAAATTAGATTGATCAATTACATGACTGTAGTCTATCCGTACTCTACAGCAAATAGTTGCTTGCAAGGTACAAAGTAGGTAGGTATTTTGGTCACCCGCGGCTGGCCAAGCGACAAAGTGACACAGCACCATCCCGACATCAACCGACTTGGGTGATACATGTGCCAATCTCTTACTTGGAGGGGTTGGTCTGTTCAAATCTTCGAGCTTGGGCCCCTGTGGAGCTTACCTATCGTGCCTGGGCAATCCTGGCTACAGCGGGGTGCCCCAACAATCAAACCCTGTGTAGAAGGATGCCCTGTGTAAATCCCCATAGAAGGAAAGGAACCGTCAGGTCCATTATTTTCTGTCGGGCTCTTTCCATCATCTCCCGCTTTCCTCCCCCATTTCTCTCGTCCACCTCCATCTCTATCTTCATCACATCCTTTCTTTGAGACTCATAATCTTCAAGATACCAAATACCGCAATCATGTCTGTCCCTGCCTTCTCCGACATTGCCAAGCCGGCCAACGATGTATGCTTATTCTAACCTCCCCCGTATCGTCTTTACCTGTATTCTGTCTTGGTTCCTCTGGTCGTAACCACATCACGACTTTGGGCGGTCTGTTTTTTTTTTGCTCTTTTGGATCTCGGATCAAGGAGTAAAACACAATATGGCTCTGAGGTTCCAATTGCTTCAATTCTTGAAGCTAAGACGATTGCTGTACCAGCAACATTACTGTTTATGAGCTTTGCTGACTTTTGCGCCTTGTTTGCGCCGTTTTATAGCTCCTTAACAAGGATTTCTACCACCTCTCTGCCACCACCTTCGAGTTCAAGGACACCGCCCCTAACGGCGTTGCCTTCAAGGTCACTGGCAAGTCCAGCCACGAGAAGGCCACCTCTGCTGCCGTGAGTATTTCCTCGCCTCGCCAGCAAACTCAATGGCGACCCCCAGTATTGTTTTCGTTCGGGGGTTCGGAAGCCAGTGCTCGGTCGACCGCGGCTTTCGGCGCATAAGATCTGTACAGCTTCGAGTAGAATCGACCCATATCGAGAAACAATACAATCTCTCGCTTTGCAACAAGTTGCTGACCCGATTATCACAGATTGAGGGAAAATACACCGACAAGCCTACCGGTACGACATCACCATCTCTCTTTTCAACACCGTCACCCTCACAATATTCATCTCCATCTCCACCATCCATACCCAAACCCCGCCGCAAACAAAATCTCCCCTCCCTTAGCGTCTCGCGAATCCTTGGGCCCAAATCAGGATGGCCGATCGGATTTGCGACGCTTCTTCAACCTGGCTATGCTCAGTTGCTAATGTTCTACTCCCGTACAGGCCTGACTCTCACCCAGACCTGGAACACCGCCAACGCCCTCGACACCAAGATTGAGGTCGCCGACTCTCTTGCCAAGGGCCTCAAGCTTGAGGGTCTCTTCAACTTCCTCCCTGCCACCGCCGCTAAGGGTGCCAAGTTCAACCTCCACTTCAAGCAGCCCGGTTTCCACGGCCGTGCCTTCTTCGACCTCCTCAAGGGCCCCGTCGCCAATGTCGATGCTGTTGTCGGCCACGAGGGTTTCCTCGCTGGTGCTTCCGCTGGCTACGATGCCAACAAGGCTGCTCTGACCGCCTACAGCGCCGCTGTCGGCTACGCCGCTCCTCAGTACAGCGCTGCCATCACCGCTTCTGACAACCTCAGCGTTTTCGCCGCTTCTTACTACCACAAGGTCAACTCTCAGGTTGAGGCCGGTGCCAAGGCTACCTGGAACTCCAAGACCGGTAACGCTGTCGGTCTTGAGGTTGCTAGCAAGTACCGCATCGACCCCGTCTCTTTCACCAAGGTTCGTAGAATTGAATTTGCAACAAACAAGGGCTTGCGACTGACCAATGTTCCGAAATATAGGTCAAGATCAACGACCGTGGTATTGCTGCCCTCGCCTACAACGTTCTCCTCCGCGAGGGCGTCACCCTGGGTCTCGGTGGTTCTTTCGACACCCAAAAGCTCGACCAGGCTACCCACAAGCTCGGTGCCAGCTTCACCTTCGAGGGTTAAGCTGCTTCTAGAAAAAAATACCTCTATTGAGATTCCAGCAAGAGGCTCGCTGGAACACTCTGCTCTGGGGCTGTCTCACGCCGAGCAGCTCTTATACCTTACAGGCTTGCATTGCGGTGGTCTCGAAGGATGTAGACTATCTCAAATAAAAAATCTTGAAGTTCTTAGCATGTCTTATTGTTCCCCTTGGCTGCAAAACCTCTGTGTATGTGTATGCAATGGTTTCCCCGTTTCTCGATACAAGTATATCCATATTTGTAAAACTCCGACAATGCCATTTAGTCTGTCTTTCATGCTGTACGTCCAGTATACTGCTTTGGAGATGGAAGACTTGGTTTCAGTCTTTCTTCCTATCCTGTTAACTCTTCTCCTTCTTTTGCCGTCCAATGCTCATGAACTGGATATATATGAGAGGCGCTAATATCGTCGTCGCTAGAATGCCTGATATTATGATAAAATGCCCAGTAATACTCGTCTGCGGCTCGAATTCGATGTCGTCATCTCCCATCGCCCTCTTCTGCCTTCGATCCTTACGCCGCTCATCCTCTCGTCTATGTGTTCGTGTATGCCCTTCCCTATCAAAGTGCGGGACGTCGTTCTGATGTCCAAAAGGGTCGTCACCGGGTCCCATTCCTCCATGAGCAGATGACTCGTGCTTGAAAGGGTCCCCCCAGGGGTTCTGGTGACGATTGTGCGTTGCCTCTTGGTCGTGCGACGATGCGCCGCCCCCGCCAGTGCTCTCCTCATGCGCCTTGCGACGCTTGTCCGCTTGCTCTCCCCATCCTCCGCTTCGATAAAAGCTCGGCGGTGGACCGCGGAAGGTACCTCTCCTGCGACTTAAGCCTGAAGGCGCACGCCCACCCGCCTGGTGGGAGTGGTAGGAGCCGCGTTGAGCGGTTGTTTGTGGGGGATGGTGGTGTAGGCGTAAGACATCGCGGTCGTAAGCTGCACGGCGAGATTTATCAGACAAGACTGTGTATGACTCGGAAATGAGAGAGAAGGTGGATGATGCGTTTGGGTCGGAGCGGTTGGCGTCGGGATGGTGTGTTTTTGAGAGTGAATAGAAGGATCTGGGAATTGTCAGATACTTGTCGTTGTAAGAGTCGCGAGCCACTGGTCATACTTTTTTATTTCGGCCGGTGTTGCGTCATGCCTCACATTCAGCCGTTCGTAATGGTTCTTCTTGGCAACCTCATCATGTCGACCTCTTCGCTGCTGAACTTGCAGTCCATGTACAACAATAGCTGGTGTCCGACACCGGAGCAGTCTGGCGCCGCAAGCTTGGGGAATTGGCGCAGGGCGCAAGCTACAGAGAAGTGAGGGACGCAGCGGCATGCCGCATTACGGCTGTGGTTAGAGGGATTGAAGAGTTGAACTGGTTGATCTCAAGCTAAGACCGCTTGACAATGGTGTTGTATGTAGGTGTAAGTGAATTAGACTCATGGGTTATGATACATTATTTTTTGGTGGTGATGTAATCTATGATCTCGAGCGAATCTACATGCGCGAGGCGGGGTGATGCGATTAGCGAGATGCACGCTAACACCTTGGTGAGTGGGTATGGAGATGACATCAATGCCTTACCCTGTAAGATTCGACTTGAGGTGAGCAGTTTCGAGAGTATCAATGGTGTATCCTATTACTAGTTCAACTTTGTTGTGTAATGGAATCTGTCTTTACGGCTTATCTGCGTATCTGGGAAAGAGCAAGCTATGATCTGAATTGTATTCACAGATCCAAGCCCACCCCTATAGCAAATTTAAATGACTGAAACATGCTTCCATTTTCTCAACCCATGAAACACCAATATGAAATAGAAAGAATTGATCATTAAAAAAAAGTCATAGCTTAATGGCCGAACTTCCACCAAGACGTCTTCTTCTTAGGAGTCTCAGGCTCCTCACCCTTGGGACGTCTGAGAGGATGCGCCTCAGTGTTCAACACCCACTCATCAAGATTGATAACATTAGGGTCCTCGAAGGTGAGATAGAAGTACTTGATAGTTTCGGACATCCAAAATGTCTGGTGATGTCAGTTCTGATCCGAGAATGGGGAATGGAAAACTTACTTCCATGTTATCACGCTTGTCACTGCCCTTCCTGTTGACGTCGCTGATCGTAGCAAATGCCTCCTGAGTCTCGGTCTGCTTGACAATGTTGTCCCACATGCGCCAAGCAGCGGCGCGCCAGACGTCGTCACCTGTGATGCGCCACATATAGAAGACACTCTCAATAGCCTCAGGGCGCAGTCGGTATTCCGAGTTCCGGACGCGGACAAAGCCCTCAGGCAGTTTGTCCTTCTTCTCCACGGGCGCATCACTCCAACGGCATTTGCTAGTGATAGAGTCGCAGGGTGAAAGCTCAGCAATCTCGGGCATAATATTGGTTGGGAAAGCATCGTATGCCCAGACACAACCAGCTGTCAGACGAGAGCCGAGGTCGACCAGGTCAGACCGCGAAAGCAACTTACCAGCCAGAGCATACGTGCCACCGACAAAGCATGTCAAGTGCTGCATTTCAGCAGTAAGTTTGGGCGCGGCGCCATCATCGCCTGGTACTGCATTACCCGACATCAAGACATTCAAGTCATTGGGGTTGCGAGGTTTAAACAGCAGGTGCTTGGTGGCGGTGTCAAGAGCCTTAGTGGTCATCTCGACATATTGAGGATCCAGGCCGCCTAACAAAGCGTGCATTTTGGGAAGATACTCGTAGAGTGAATCCGCACCGGCTCCGAGGGTAAAGCGTTCGTCATCAACTGTCTCATCGCGGTAGTTCATGACATGTGGCCAAAGGCCAGGAATTTTGGTGTTATCCTGGTTGCGGTAGAAGAACTGCTTGATGCGCTCAGTGGCATCGTAGTACTTCGGATTGCCGGTAATCTGGGACAGGCGAGTAAACTCGAGACACATCGAGCCACCTGCAGCGCCAGACATTTGTTCATCGGCTTGTTGCCCTCCAGTCTTGGCAGACTTGAAGTTGAACCAGTGAGATGGCAGCCGATTGGGGGTATCGAATGCGGCATAAAGCATGTCACCTAACTCGATGGCTTTGCCAAGTAAGACAGCTTCATCGGAGAGCTCGTAGGCGGAAAGGAGGCCACCAAGATGGCGAATAGCCACCTCGAAGAGATTAAGGTAGCTATCACCAGTGCGGGCCCAGTCGATCATGGCGACAGCCTGAACAGCTTCCTTGAACTCATCCTTCATATCGAGAATCCAGAGGGTGTCAAGTGCATCGACAATCTGGGCTGCCCAGCCAGAAAAGGTGGTCTTGCCTTGAAGGGAAACTGGCGCAAGCTCGTCCGCGCCCCATGCATGCTTCTTGTAAGCCTCCCAGCTTTTTGTAAAAGCCTGCTTAATGGCTGCTTTCCTGGCAGTGGTCTCGGTGTCCTCGGTGTAACCGTCGGTGCGGTCTTTCTGGATGGTTGGCAGCAGCTTGAAGGTTCCGTTCGGGGGGGATTTGACATCCTGGACGGGGTGGAAAACTTGTTGTTTACTCCAATCATAGCTGCTGGGAAGGTAGTTGTAGGTGCCGATTCTCACGGTACGGTAACGTTCGTAGGGACGAAAGTTGTGGACAAGAAACCATGTTATAGCAACGAGAATGAAAAGGGTGATGTAGCGGCGAGCTGGTCGCCCTTGGAAAGTGGCCAACATTATGATTACTGTATGCGCATCGCGGGAGGAAAATGTAAGAGTTGGAGTCAAGTGATGATATCACCGACGTAGAGCAGAGGGAAGTATCAAATGATTGATTGATTGATTGGGTTTAGGTAAGGAGCGACGTGAAGAGCAAAGTAAGAGAATGAGATGCGAGAATGAAAAAGGTCCAGGTACAACCTCAAAAGTTGTAGGCAAGGAAACAAGTTCCTGCTATATTTGAGGAAGGTAGGGTATTAATGTACTTACCTACTGTACTGTACCATAACTACAGTATTGTGATACCATGCCACATGCAGTAGCCGTTCCTGCCTTAGTACCTGGTTTTGCGGCGTGAAGTGGAGATGAGAGACAAGAAACAGGGAGACACGCTCAGTGACCCAATAGTAGAAGCCAACCTTGAATACCAATTCCAAGGGAGGGATTGATATGCAGCTTCCAGGGGGAGGCTTGCGTAACTGACAGTTACAGCATAGAGGTAGAGTACCCAGCAGCAACAGATAATTTGTACTGACAGGTGGACACAGTATCATTGTATTGGAGAACCCTTGATATTCCTGTTTCAGCTCCAGGATTCCTTAGTTTCTATCAAGGGAATAATTTAACTCACATGTCGATACTCAGTTCCAGCCTTATTAGTTGGACGATAAATATATCCGTTAACATGACGCCTCAACCACCCTGGCCTGGCCTTCCCTCCCCTGTAAAGTGGCGCTAAGTAATATCCATCATACAACCAACCACCACTAGCCGCTGCAGGTACCTGCAGTACTACATTGCGATAACAGATCTCCGAGCTCCCTTGTAAACTGGGTCTTGTTGGATTGAGTACTCCCGGGCAGTCTCATAGTCTCGCCCAAAAGCTCCGGAGTATGGGGCTAGTTGGAAGTCGACGCAAAACCAAGCTGTCGCTTTGCAGGTAAGCACCTAATATTCTTAGGTAGTGAAGAGTCATATGGATGCTTTCTTATATTCCGCCAATTGCCCTTGCTTGGTTCCAAGCCAACCTTACTCACATACAAGATACACCATGTAAAAAAAGAACGACTTGAGCTTGCTTTTTATCTATGTAGTAATGACTGAATATGGGCGACTCTCAAACTCAACGTTGGGTGTCAAAGCACCAAACGAATGGGTGGCCCGGGAGTTTTTGAACGTGGTTTGATCCATCGTATCATAAGAATACTTTCCCATCTTCTCCTCTCAAACGACTGTGCGAATGAGCTTGTCAGTCGTTGCTGTTCACTCCCCAGCACTGTCGTTCCTTTTAACCCCATTCCTCACACCTTGACCCCCCGCTATCGTAATGTTTTCTTTTCAAAGATCAAGACAATCTGCACCTGCCGGGCCTGCTACGACCCTGTATATGGCCGTTGTAGGTTGAGCCGCTGGCAACGCAACTCCCATGTCTCTGTCCTGGCTTGCATTCTAGCCAGATGTCGTCCTCTTGTTGGACACGGCACGGTTTCCGCAAAGAGGGGCGGGGCTGACCGTGTGAGCCTTGCTGAGAGGCTTCCGAAGGAGACGGCGATTTGCTCCCCCGCCCTCGGTGATCCGGCGGTGGCGGCAAATCGTGCAGCAGAGCCCGTGGGATGCAAAATTGGAATCATCTACCCATAGCGCTCACGCAGTCCTTCAGTCGTAGCCTCCTCCAATCTGGCTATGAAATGCTGTGCTGACACTCTTCTCGTCGTCGTCAAAGCGTCGTCCGTAGCCGTTACCGGGATTCATGCGACCACCACTCTCGACATACTGCTTGAGTCGGTCGCTTTGGCTGTAGGAGACGGGTCGCATGCCTGTGACAGCATCATGAAGCCCTGCCCCCAGACTAACACCACCCTGTCCTACTCCTTTGCCACCAATCACGCTCGAAGACGCATCCGTATACTCGGAGTTGGCCACGCTCTCACCTGCAACACTTTCGGTGGCACGACCCCGATTCTTACCTCCTCGGCCGGGAGCAGCTACACCGGGCAGACCAGGCCACTGATCGGGGGTGAAGCTCGAGAACATAGGGGGGAAAGCGCTGTTGAGGGAGGCTCCGCCAAATGCAGAGCCATGAACAGAGGATACATCATCAGGGATGTATGATACCATAGAGCCCAAATCGAAATCTCGACCGGAGGGGGGCGGGTTAAATCGGCCTCCATTGGAGTAGCTGCCAGCTCCGAACTGCGGCTGCTGGTTCTTCTGGCGATAACTGACCTTAGGTCGGCTGAACTGGAGAAGGCATGCCTGAAGATTGGACAAAGGACCTTCAACAAAGCACTTGCGATCCTTGAAGTGAACAAGCAAATTGTGCCAGAGCTCGTGCTTGGACAGAACTTTGGGGTTTCCAAGAATGACAAGACCATACTTGGCTCGTGTCAAGGCCACGTTCAGACGACGCGGGTCGGACAAGAAACCGATGCCCTGATTGTCGTTGGATCGAACACAAGAGAGAACAATGAAGTCCTTTTCACGGCCCTGGAAAGCATCAACCGAAGCGACCTCGACTTCCTTGTAGTACTCCTTCTTATAAGTTCCTGAGTTTTGCATAGTAGTCACAATGTAGCTTCGCTGGCCTTCGTACGGGGTGATGACACCAATGTCAGCAGGCTTCACACCGGCCTTGAAGAACCGAGTGACTGCCTTCTCGACATTGGAAGCTTCCGTGCGGTTGAGATATGATGTTCCCGAGGCGGAAATTTCTTCATGGCCCAAATTGGACCAGAACATCATAGGCATCTCACCGACTGGCCAAGGGAAGTCAACGTCTTTTCGTAAACGGTTCTCATGAGTAACACCGTTCTGCAGACTACCATCGTAGAACATGTTGGAAGGAAACTCGGAGAGGCAAGGATGCATTCGGTATTGAATGTTCAGTCGGATAGGCGAAAGCTTCAAATTGACCAAGCGTTCAAAAAGCGATTGGTTCAAACCAGCCTTGGCAGCCTTCTTGTTCATGATGACGGGGCCAAGTTGCTTGTGGTCACCAACAAGGACGACTTGTTTGCAACCAAGAACAAGTGGGATCATGCACTCGGGCTCCGCTGATTGAGTTGACTCATCGATCAAGACATTTCGGAACTTCATCTTAGACAGGCGTGGATCACCAGCACCTACGCAAGTACAACAGACAACGTCGGCGTTGTTGAGAATATCGCGTTCGGCAATCTTTGTGAGCTGCTTGTACTTCTTCTCATCCTGACTTGACAGTTCGCCTAGCTCGTTCTTGAGCTGTGAAAGCTTAACGAGCTCGCTGTTGTGCTCCGACATGCGGACCTGTTCGTGGAGAGCCAAGAAGCTGACAGACGATTCGACATCCTCGCGAGATTTGGCTGTGAGACGAACCACCTTGAGTCCAGTGCGGTGAACGCGCTCGCAAAGCTGATCCACGGCGACGTTGGAAGGTGCGCAGACAAGAACTTGGTTGCCACTCATCTTGGCTAAGTGGTAAATGATGGTAGCAGAGGTTACAGTTTTCCCGGTTCCGGGAGGTCCTTGGATCAGACTAAGAGGCTTCTGGAGAACTGCCTTAATCGCTCCCACTTGGCTAGGGTTGAGATCAGGAAGGCCAGGGGCGGACCACTTCTTAGGCAGGTTTGTCTTCATAACCTGCAACTGAACCTCGTGACCCAGCAGAGTGTGGAAGATGTAACCAGAGACACTCATATCATCAACGGCAAAGGTTTTCATAGCCAGTTGCATACGGTCATAGGATGTCGCTTTCCAGACATAGTCGGCTGAAAAGTTGTGAGACAGGTCAGTCGGGACCAGTTTTTCGTTTCCAGTCTTGCGCAATTCGAGCGTAACCTCGTCAGACTGGTTGTTCGGGATTTTGATAACATAGCCGACCCCCTCCCAAGGGGACCGTAGCTCTCCCTTGTAGCGTAGTCGCATTTCGTCACCAACAGCAAGCTTAACATCACCAGATTCAATTTTGTGCAGGTTGAAACTGACAAGATGCTTGTTGTTCAAACCATAGTCCCACCGGACTAAGAGTCCATCCTCGGATTGCGCTTCCTTCAACTTCTTGTCGTAATCGGATTCCATCTTGACCAAGGGGCCAAAAATGTTCTGATAGTGGTAAGGATCATCGTAGTTTAGTAGGACAGGCTGAGGGTCATCGTCGATACTGGCTGCCTTCTCAAGGTCAACTACTGTGGCCTTGGGCTCAATTTTCCACATCTCCTCCAGTTTTGCAATCATGTTGGGTGTAAGGTGGCGGGCCCGAAGTTGCTCAGAGTCAGACGGAGTCCCGACTAGCCAAGGCAGAAAGGCTCGCTCTTCGATCAGAGGCTGCCATCGTGATGTATCCCAGTTCATATCCTTGTTTGAGGTGTTGGCGGCACATGGCTGTCGGCAGAGAAGGACAACGACGGTGTCGGACTTTGCAGGGATAAAGCCCAAGAGGAACGCATTCTTTGTTCCACAATTATAGCATTCCAAAACGGTATCGCCAAGTGTAGACTCGGGGTGAAGCTGGACTTCCTTGTGGCGGGCTCGAACGAGGTGATTTACGATGTGGGTCGAAGTGCCATTGCCTCTCGCACTACAAAACCATTTGTTGCATGTGAGGCACTTCACAACGCATCCTGGAGAATGAATGCCGCAGTACCTAATCATATTTTAGCGAATGTCGAGCAACAAGGAGGGCAGTCAACCTACGCGCAGGCGTGGGCCGGAAGCTCCTTCTCCTCGTCCTGACCCTTGAGCTTGAGTCCATTCAGTCCATCGATCGGAACGCTGTTCAGACTGTCGTTATCGTCTTCTTCAAATGCTTCGGTTTGGTTGTCGTCGTCGTCGGCTCGGCGGCGGCCATTTCGATCGCCGTATTTGCCATAGAGTAAGCTCTCGTCGGGGTCGATCGTAGAGAGGTCATCAGCTCCGGCCTTGATAGCAGCAGCGGAGTCAGATATCAAATGATTCCCAACATGGGTGAAAGCACCTTCCATGTTGGTGTTGTGTAAAGTTGGGTGGTGGCTAGTAGGTTTTTGCTGCAGGAAGACTTATCAGCGCTTGAATCCCCGCGTTGAACAAGGCAGGGTGGCGGTGGTGTAGTAGATAAGGGCAAGGTCTGAAATATTTATGGATGACAACAAAAGTGAGCGCGACTCACCTACAGCTGTTGTTCTTTCGAAAAGGAACCGTGTGGGAGGCTCAAGAGCGACTCGGGTCGAATTATGAAAGTGATTGGGAGTTGTAAGTCGCTGGTATGGCTCACATCATCGCGGGATCGAATGCGCCGGAACAGGAATATGCCAGACTGCGAGAAATATCCTCGTAGTCAAGCGGGATAACGAGTAATACAGAGTCTCACGGAAAGCACGTCACTAAAATTGCCTTCAAGAAATTGTGGCTTTGGTGAACCAGGAATTATATCCAGTTGAACAGCTGGACCCTCTTTGCTAGGTACAGGTTGGTGGGACATTTTGCGCCCACGTGATAGGCGGTTTTGTTATCAGGTCCGACTGATAAGGAACTTTTTCTATCCAGACTTTCGTAGTGGCAGCTAGGAAATTTCGCATCTACTGCTAACCTCTGGCGAGATTCTACTTTCAGAACAGGCTGATACTATCATAAACCATGATTGTAAGCTCAGTCGAAGGCCTTTTCCTACTCATATTCGAATGCTAACATTCTTTCGTAGCGCAAACAAGCGCGCCAAAGGCGCGACTATCTCTACCGACGAGCTCTTCTTCTGCGAGATGCCGAGATCAGTGAGAAGCGAGCCAAGTTGAGGTCGTCACTTGCCTCTGGCAAGCCTTTGGATCCCACGATCGCCAACGATAAATCCCTGCGCAAGGACTACCAGTACGATGAATCCCGACCTGACCTCACAACTAACGAACAACTCGACCTCGACGACGAGTACGCCCAACTTTCTGGAATTGTTGACCCACGCGTGCTTGTGACAACTTCTCGCGACCCCTCCGCTAGACTGGCGGCTTTTGCCAAGGAGATCCGACTTCTTCTTCCGACCGCCGTTCGCCTCAACCGTGGAAACCTCATTTTGGATGACCTTGTGCGCTCTGCCCAGTCAGCGGGTCTATCCGACGTTGTCCTTCTTCATGAACATCGAGGTACACCGACTGCCTTGACATTGTCTCACTTTCCCCATGGGCCGACGGTTTCTTTCTCTTTGCACAACGTTGTGCTCCGTCATGACATTCCTGGAAGCGTGCGCGGAACAGTGAGCGAGTCCTATCCTCACCTCATCTTTGACGGCTTTACAAGCCGCCTGGGTGAGCGGGTGGTTAAGGTATTGAAACATATTTTCCCCCCTCGAGAAGCCATTACGAACAAAAATAAGGTCGGCAACCGAGTCGTCACGTTCAAGAACATCGAAGATAGCATCGAAGTCAGGCATCACGTTTTCGTCAGGACCGGATATGACAGTGTCGAATTGGCTGAGGTTGGGCCGCGCATGACAATGCGGCCATTCGAAATCCGAAGTGGCACTCTCGAAAACAAGAACGGCGATGTTGAGTGGCATCTTACGCAGTATACACGAACCGCTAAGAAGAAGAACTATCTGTGAGACTATGATAGACTGCGAACCAGATGTTCACTTTTTCAGCACCGCTGTTTTATTATTAGTCATGGTAATTGAACAATGAAGAACAAAACGAGCCATATGTCGACGTGGCAGCCTTAATTCTGGTTCCTGACAACCTCTTGGGCGAATTGGCGCGCCATGGGCGTAGTCAAAATGCACGATGATGCAGAAAAGGACTAGAACGGAATACCGGCGTTTGGAGTTATACAATGCAAAAATATCAACCCAGGAGGCGATGGCTTTGAGCAACTGGGGAACATTCCATGGTAGAAAGATTGAATAGACTTACAGGAGTGGATGATTGCCATTGGCTGATGATGGCGAACATCAGCACTTGGATAGGGTGAATTATAAAGAGGATTCAGGCAGACGCAATCACAACTTGCTCTTGTCGAATTGTCTCCAGGAACATCTGACAACTCGAGCGTTTGATTCAATTGATATCTCTGTACCAGCGCTCTACTGTAAATGCGATCATAGCTGCCTAGGCTAGTAGCCAAGCCATCCATATTCAACGTTAATTGAGACTCCGTATCAGAACCAAACCCTTGTCTTGGCAGTGTTTTATTTTTAATGGAACTTTTAACGGCTCAGCCACAAGAACATGTCCGACGGACAAGGAGGTAGGTATGTGTTTACTAATAATAAAGAGTTACTGCGCAGCTCGCATAGGTACGCATCCATACACATGCTTTTTGCCGATCCGGTCACAAAGCCGTGGACCTGGCCTTGAAAGAAGTCTAGCACTGCCTCTATTTGAGTTGGGGATCGGAACTTCGCATTTGCAGGAAGACAGTCAGTGTTGCAACCAGCCCCCAATTGCTCGATTAATCATTGGATGGCATCCGTTATCCCAGACCCTTGACTTTGGTTTAGTTCTGGACTTCATGGCTACCTCTAGACTGTTACCTCCAGCTACAATACGGACAAGAGTCCAGATGTATCCAATGGATGTACTACTAGCATCCAATCCACATTGGTTTGCAGCAGTAACCCGCCACTTGCGTACGTAGTGCTCCCGATGTTGCCGGGGTAAGGTAGAAGCAATTGAATCATACATAAGCCGCGCATATTCTCACTCAGTCAGCATTTGACTAACAGAGAACTTCAATTTGCTCTTCCATCCAATCTTTCCTTCTTCGAAAAGGCCTCATCAAATCACCCAAAGTACATACTGTACATGATATAATTGTCGATCTTAATAAGCGAGTGTTTTGTTTCCTCATTTACAGGACTCCTTGTTTGGTTTCTATCCCTGTCCGTTCAACATCAAGCTTTTTTCCAATCGAAGAACCTGGCTTCCCTACGTCACGCTTCAGCGGTTATTTCTAGCATTCTTCCACTGAAGAGACCTGTGCACCTTCCACTAAAAGCCAAGGGTAATAGCGCCACTGGGTCTGGCGTTCGGTTCCGACCACACATCGTCCAATCCAGATCCATACCTATCGGCTTTAGCCAAGACAAATCAAAGCTCAGCCTGGGTAGCTTCATCTCGTCACTTTCGCCGGCCTTTTATTAGTCTCTTTTTGTTTCTCTCATCATCACATCCCTCCCCCGCCATTGCTTTCTCCTCCGAGCATAGCTGTTCATCATGTCTTACGATCAGTACAACCAGAACCCTTATCAGCAGGGCCCAGCTCAGGGAGGTTCTCATGGTTACGGCCAGGTACGCGCATTCCCGGTTACTTAAAGAACTGACCACAATCGTGCTGACTCGGATGTTGCGCTTCAGGCCAATCCATATGCGCAAGATGCGCCAGCCCATGGCAACAACCAGTATGAGATGCAAGACTATTCGCAGCAGGCTCCCGCCGGTAGCTCAAGTCTTTCCCAACAGGAATTCCTCCACCGCGTGCAGAAGCTTCGCGATGAGATTAAGGGTCTGACCAACGACGTCGATTACATCGGCCAGCTCCACCAGCGAACTCTTAGCAGCACTGATGGCTCCGCAAACCACGATCTCGAGCAGTATGTCTCTCAGACTCAGATTCGCAACACCGCCATCAAGGATGGAATCAAGGGACTAGAGCGTGATCTCGCAAAGACGAATGACAGCTCTCGTACCACCAAAGAAACCCAGCTGCAATCTCTCAGGACATTCTTCAAGTCCGAGCTCGACAAGTACCAGAGTATCGAGCGCGATTACAGACAACGTTACCGCGACCAGATTGCTCGCCAGTATCGTATTGTCAACCCCGAGGCATCCGAATCCGAGGTTCAAGAAGCCGCCAACGCCGATTGGGGTAACGAAGGTGTCTTCCAGACTGCTGTGAGTGATATTCTAAAAGAAGCAGTAAATTCCTTCTCATCAACGTCATGACTAACAACATCTCAGCTGCGAACAAACCGCACTGGACATGCCAGCTCCGTGCTTGGTAACGTTCGTGCCCGCCACAGCGAGCTTCAGCGCATCGAGCAGACACTCTCCGAGCTTGCCATCCTCTACCAGGAGCTTGCCACTATTGTCGAGCAGCAAGACCCTGTCGTCCAGGCCGCCGAGACAAATGCAATCAACACTGAGGAGAACATGGTTAAGGGCAACGAGCAAGTCGAAGTCGCCAAAAAGCACGCCCGCAACCGTCGCAAGCTCAAGTGGTGGTGCGCCCTTGTCGTCCTACTTATTATCATTGCCATTGCTGTTGGTGTTGGTGTCGGTGTCACTGTAGCCAACAACAACAGCAAGTAGAGGACGGATTCGTCGTCTTTGGCGCTTTCATTGTTTTCACTACGATGCTGATGTTATTCTTGTTATGTCTTTCCCCTCATAGATGTTTCGATGACGTTTGGGCCTTGATTTTTCTTTTTTTGCTCGAAAGATCGAGTATACGACAGCATTTTTCTACCGTATACCGTATTCTGTACCTAATTCTTATTCTCCCCTCGAAGCGCCCAAGCGCTGGGGCTCTTTTGATGGATGCGTGGAGGAAGGGTCTAGGTCTTGTCCTGCAGATACGACCTATTGATTGCTGATGTTGAAAATATCTCTGGGTGGTTTTATCCTGGTCTTGTGGTGTTTCTTTGTTTTATGTTTCTTGGCAGGGGTTCCCGTTTGGCTCATTGCAGCAGAATTGGGCAGACGAGTGGAGGGATATCAATAGTAGGTACCTACTGTACGTAACATTGTACGTATTCACATGGAAACATGATCCAGCAACAGTTTTGGGATGATCGGGTGGGAAAGCCGTCCCAGGATTTAATGTCAAGCCTTTGAGCATACAAGCATAGTTAGCTTGAGCATGAGTTATCTGCGAGCATTACAGGTTCCAGGTTGACGAAATGAATGATTTAAGTTTCTTTTTATTTTTTCCTCCAGTACACCAGAACATGACCAAGCCTGCTGAGTACCTGCCCTGCGCCCGTCCTCACAGATCCCCAGGCTTAAGAAAGAGATGAGAGAAGTGCTATTATATACAGGTACAGTAGGGTTCAGATGTGTGCATTATAGTTCCCAGCTGCAAAGCGTTGCGTTAGACTTCACTTGCTGGTGAGGCGAGACAGCTTCGTAGCCAAGTGGTCTCCCTCAAAGGACAGAGTGTGGTGTAATTGTGTCCCGCATCCCATCCTAATTCAACGCCTTCCTTTTTTTCCCTCGTCTGCTCCAAATTCGTACACTTTACACGCCGTTCTGGCCGTTGGACTTTTGTCTCATACACATTTATTGGGGGCCCATGCGAAGGCCACCGGGTCCGGCACCACCAGCCAATTTGGCTGCCAACTTGGGGTACTTCTCTGTGACTTGCACTTGTGTTCGAGTAGCCTCGGCATAGGACAAGGCATTCACGATCTCGCCTTCGGTTCGGGCGAGCTCAGCAGCACGCTCGAAATACTTGAGAGCAGCAGGGACATTGTTCTGCTGGAGGAGGAGCTGAGCCATAGTAGCAACAGCAATATCACACTCAGGGTCGACTGTTTCGTTGTTAGCACAATTTCAAGCTGGGTTGGTGTTATAACGCTTACTAATCAGGGCCTTCTTGCAGAGGGCCTCGGCCTCCTTAAAGTCTTGCTTCCACTGGAAGAGAGCCAGGGCCTTGTTGATGAGAGGCAGGACGTTCATAGACATAGGCTTAGTCTGCTTCTCCATCTCCATGGCGGTATCAAACTTCTCAACGGCTTCGGAGAAGTTGCCTTGGTCGAGAAGCAACTCTCCGTAGTAGTTGTAAACATCGGGTACTTGAGGGAAGTTCTTGATGCATCGTCGGAAAGTAGCCATAGACGAGGCGATCGAGCCCATCTTATACTGTGTAACACCGAGTTGAATGTGGGAGAAGATGAAGTCCTTGTCGAGGTCGATAGACTTCTGATAATCCTTCTGAGCATCGGCGAGATCACCCTTGATGAAGTGGGCTTGGGCGCGGTGGTAGTAAACATCAGGGTCGTTCTTATCCTGCTCAAGAGCCTTGGCGAACTCGGCCTCGGCCTTGTCTGGCTCACCAAGCTCCAGGCTGATGCTGGCGCGCTTAATGTAGCTTTGCGTCATTGAGGGGTCAAGCTCAATACTCTTGTCAAAGTCCTGTGTGGCTTCGGCGTGGTTACCCAGCAGAGTGCGGAAAGTACCCCTCATGTTATAAGCAAGTGCTTCATACTCGCCAAGATCGCCGAGCTCCAGGGCCTTCTCGAAAGCTTGTCGGGCCTCCTCGTATCCGTCACCAGTCTTCTTCTCCAAAGCTTGAAGACCAATCTGCACCTGTCCCTTGCCGGTATCGGGATCCAACTCTTCTGAGTCTTCGAGGCCTTCGGGGCGAGGCTTGGGACGGAAGCTCTGGAGGTAGTTGCCAACGAAAATGGGGCTAGGCAGCTTGGGTGGTCGGGAAGCCATCATTTCCTTGGCCTTTTGCTCGGCGAAGGTCTTGAGGAGGCGCTCGACAGCCTGGGCGGTAGACTCGCTCTTGAAGTTGTCGATGATACATGAAGCCGTGAAATCGAGGAGGGCCTCGGAGTACTTCTTCTGGTGCTCGTAGGCAGTAGCGCGGCGGTTGATGGCCTTGACATACTCAGGGTCCATGTTGATGGCGGCGGTGGTGTCCTCGATAACTTGATCCCATTCGCTCATGGCGCTGTGGCAGGCAGCTCGGTTGGAGTAGAAAACAGGGTCGGCCTTGCACAGGATGGCCTTGGAATAAAGCTCAATGGCTTTGTTATACGACTTATCACCGTACGCTTTGTTACCAGCCTGCTTCAGTTTGGCGGCATAGTCTTCACGCTGTTCTTGAGTAAGGCTAGAAACGGACTCCTCGTCGACGTCGGGCAGCTCCGGTTCTGTCTCAGCAGAAGCAGGTTTGGGTTGGGAGGGGCCGGATGAGGGTGCTTCCTTATCGGCTTTGCGATCGGCTTCCTTTCGCTTTCTCCTCTCCTTCTTGCTGATTTTTGGTGTTGTGTCCTTGGCGTTCTAAAGTTTTAAACAGAAAAGTTAGCCAACGGTAATTTGAATAATTATGTGGTTCGATACAGAACCGCATCGTTGGGGCGACAATATCAAGAATGCAATCATCAGGCTGGCAGCAGCGGGACATACGTTGTCATTGAGGTAGTAAATCACACCAGCACCCGTAACAGCAATACCGACACCAGCAATGGTGTAGACAACGGTCTTGTTCTCTGAAGCCCAGTGCGTTAACCGCTCCCAGAGGCCAGAGGAAGGGTCGACGGGAACGACGGTTGGCTGGCCCGGGGCCATTGACGGAATTGGACCTGACATTGCGAAGCCTATGAATTAATGAAACGGACGGGCGAGAGGACGAGGGTGGAAGTGAGGCCGTCGAAGCGGAATTGAAGGAGCTGAGAGAGAGGAGCCGATGATGTAGAGGCGCAGTATCAATCAAGCAAAACCAAAAACCAGCACCAGTGTAGTGTAGTGGTTGTATGGAGGTAGGTAGCTTCGGCGGCGGGTTGGGCGGGCTGGGCTCGACTCAACTTGGTACGCGCAGAAAAAGCTGAACCTGAACCTACTGGACGGCTATGGTTCGAATTTTGGCGCGCCAGTAGTGGGGGTTCGCGGGCCGGGTCCACTGAAAGTTTTTCCGATCAGCACCACCTGCAACTTTTAGTCTGTTGATAGCAGATTGAATTGCACTGGATTGACCTTGATAATGACCCGGAGGTTCGCAGTGACGCTATAGATTGGATCAGCTCCATCCATGTCGAATGTCCTTCTGGTCTGGTCTAATGTTATAGGCAGGTAGGCAGGTAAAAGGTTCCATCCATGCTCGGGTCTGCAGATGACGTCTATGCCTGAGGCACTCGGACAGTTTTGTTCAATGACGAAGAGGGGCCAGCGAGTAAGTAAATCGATGCCCATAATAATAATTACCGACCTCCATAGGCACTATTCTGTGCAGCTCATATAATTACCTGCCTACATAGTACCCATCCTATCCCGATACGAGTTAAGACGGGTTCATGATCCTTGAATGATCGCTTCAACTGCAACTGCACTGCTTTGTCCTCTCTGCGGTCCCTGCCACTCATGTCTAGCGGTCTGCCGATTTCTACGAATAATGAGGTGACATCTATTGGTAATTGCGGGGGTTCTATCATGATTCGGCACTGACCTACAGAAACAATCAGATCCAGCGCAATATATGTAGACTAGGTATGTTTGGATACTCTATACCAGATCGATCTGGAGAATCCATTCATTCATGATAGAAAATATGGAGAGACGCATCAAGCGAATGCAGGTTTAGCATGCTGTCTTGAGCACTTACTCTAATCTTTCAAGGGTCTCATATACTAAAGTAAGACTTGGCAAATGTTGGTCAACATCCATTGGATGCATATGATACGCCAGTATATATCAGGATTTTACTGTACATCACTCAAAAACTGATATAATATCTCATTTATACAAGTTGATGAGCTGGTTTCTAAATCTCCTCAGTTCACTCAACGTCGAGGCTGCTTGAATTTTATGACTAATTGTACTCCATTCATATGACAGTCCTCCCGTACCTGATTCCTATCTGTTCTCACTACTAACTTTCACAGTTCCAAAACCAAAGCAAGGGCTCGCCGTGGCTCATTGTAACAATTTGACCGCAAAGATGACTGACGATTTTTCTCTATTTACCTCCATGAGGTATGACCCGCAACTTGAGCAAGTAGGAGGAACCTATGGACTGAGTGGCAAAGGCTGGAACTTCGAAAACGAATCACCTCTATACATGCTCGACTTCCATCGTGACCGGCTTCTCAAAGCAGCCTCACATTGGAAATGGCAGCCCGCAATCGATAGATTATCGGGTGACGATGGTCTTTCGTCCCTAGCTCAACTCATCTTAGACAATGTCGAGACATCTCAGCGAATGCCGTTGAAGATCAAATTAGTTATGTCTCGGCATGGTAATATCGAGGTTGAGCAAGTCAAGACATCCGAAGTACCGCTGCAGAATCTATTTCCAGCTCGGCTACCAGAACCCTCTCGTCCTTCACATGATGGCGAGCCCCAGAGAACTACCACGTTCAACCTGCTGGTTGATCAGGCTGCAACCAAAAGATCTGAGTATACTCACTTCAAGACTACAAAAAGACCTATGTACGACGCTGCCCGACAACGCGCTGGTATAACCTACGCAGATCCTGCAGAAGTATTGATCGTTAACCAAGACGACGGGTCTGTTATGGAAGGCACATTTACTACACCTTATTTCTGGAGGGATGGCCGCTGGGTTACACCACCCGTTGCTGCCCATTTCAGCTGGGACCAAGGGAGTGGTGGTCAGGATGGAACTTCTAGGCGTTGGGCACTAGAACGGTATGTGTTGCTGTTGACCAACAACCAATGAGAGACTGAATATTGATGCGAAACTAGGGGACTTGTTTCTGAGCAAGAGATCAATGTCGATTCCTTGACTCATGGCGAAGAGTGCTGGATAAGCAATGGTGTTAGGGGTTTCGTTGCGGCCACAGTTCGTCTGCTTGGATGATGGGCATGTATGCCGCCAAGGTCATAATACCTGATTGCCCCATGCTGTGACTATACGCACTCTTCTTATGGTGGCGAATCGGGCACAGCTCACTTGAGATAGTCCCGATTGTCAAGTCTCCTTTTTCAGCTTGTGTAACTTTACGAATTCTATCGACCTGTCACCTTCACAACCATGTCTACACCAAGTCATTGTCTCACATCACCTGACTTGCAGTCAGTTGTGACAAACGTAGATCTTCACCAACCGTCAAGCTTTCTCGACAATAGGCCTCGTGTTCGTTCGTCGGAAAAGGTCTATGGCGCGAGTATTATCGGGTGATACTGGCCATATAAAACAAGCATCGTTTGGCTTAGAATCTAGCGGCAATCTAGACGTCGGTATCTCATCTGATAGAGCGTCGGGTTATATCAGCACGAAGGCATGTTGATGCGCGGTGACAGTCTATCAAGTCTGAAACACCGACAGGGACATCTAAGCTCCGAAAAATACGGAATACGCCAGACATGTGTTAAGACGTTAGAAGTTGGTTACTTTTAAGATGAGACATGATGCAGTTGCGATCAGTTGGTGGCTATTTAGCTAGAGTTGCCAGGTTAACTTGCCAGGTGCAGGGTAGGGTAGTCTAATACAGAGTGCACTGGACAAATAAACGCGTCTCCTGGAAACTTCACAACAATACAATTCACCTGAGCAACGTATCAATAAAAAGCACGCCATAGTACGTATACAGCGACCCTAATGATTGAATAGCCACCTGCGGAAATACCCAAAGTGCTGGTCTCGACCACGCTTGACCCTGGCTGCATGAATTGGCTATAGGTGGCGCGCAAAGTACTGTACATTCACACATACATACAGCCGCATATATCGTGCAGGTGAGACAGATTCAGTTGCTTCCAATCGCAATAGCTCAAACCGAACTCCTGGAATATCATCTTAGGGATCTCTTTCAGCCTGACCTTGCCACTCGGGTTAATTCCACAATGAGCAGTCCACACTATATTGATGCCATACAAATGCTAATCGGCAACCAGGTGCTCCCTTTGTTATATATAAGGAAAACACTTGGGTAATTTTCCAAACTTCTGTCGCTGGATGACCTCTTGAAACCATCCTCACAGACAAACCACCTGCTCTTCCTATTTCCACAATCATGACTTCCGCGACCCAAGAGGAAGCGATTGCTGAGGGGCGACGCCTATATGGTGCCAAACAATTCAAGTCTGCCCTTAAGTACTTCACCAGAGTATGTGTTGAGTACATGCAGAATTGGTATCAGTTCAACTACTGACATTCTACAGGCGATGCAGTCGTGTCCTTGTACTCGACAGGGTAAGCGCCCACGTTGCAGTTGCAAGAACTTTGAAAAAATAGCCTCCGAGGGCGGTTCTATCTTCAATGAGGCTATGTATACATGCGAGTGTGAGGTTCGCAAGACTTTCAACAAGTGCGACAACAAACTGCACATACAGGCCCTCGATCATCGTGCCGCAACCTTTGAAGATATTCAAGAGCTTGAACGAGCTCAAAAGGACGCTGAATGGATGTTAGAGCTTGCCCCAAGACTGCCAGATGTAAGTCGCCCCTCAAATTATACTACTGCATTCTGTTTACCATTGCAGGGTTACTTGCGACTCGGCAAGATATTGCGCCTTCAGAAAAAGCACGAGTTCGCCTGGAAGGTATATAATGCAGGAATAGAGACAGGAAATAAACATCATCAGGTCGACTTACCCAAGTTCAAGGTAGGAAATGGAGTTTAGGGTGCTCAGAGAAGCAAAGAACGGTGGCACTGACCAGTCTACAGAAACTCCAGAATGCCAGACAATCTTTGCATGCTCGATTTTACCGTCGAGATCCATTGAATAACCCTCCCGAGATTATCCAGCGTATATTCAATTATCTAGACTTTGCCTCTCTCGCGAGATGCACTGGCGTTTCCAAACAGTGGAGGCGGTATCTCTCTGGTCACGGCAATGAGCGCCTTTGGCGGACTCTTCACTTCACCAGCAAAATTCCCTTTAATCGCCCTCCGGGCATAAAGTCAATCAAGAAACTGATAGCCTACTCGGGGAAGGATGTTCGTCAGATCATCATCGACGATATTTCACGCTTTAGACTCACGCAGCAAAAAATCCTTATCCTTTTAGGGTCAAAGAACCTCGAGCGTCTTGAGCTCCGAGGCAGGGTTGAAGAGGATCTAACAATTCCGAACACCTCTGGCATCCTAAAGAAGTTGAGCCATATTACCCTTCAGGATATTCTAACCAGGAGACCACAAATACTGGGTCCCCTTCTGCACCATGCCAGTGAGAGTCTACAGATCCTACATATCATCGGCTTGCCACAGACAGGCTCGTCTGGTGCCCATTTCCCCCACCTACCTAACCTCAAGTACCTGCGCCTTGAAGAATACTCAAGACCGAGCCCGTTCAGGGTGAGCACAGTAAGTTCGGATCTATGTGGCCACAAATCATTCGTGACTAATCCGACATAGTGGCAACTAGCTCAAAGGACGCCATGCCTGCAGCAACTCTATCTTCAAGACGTGCAGCTTTCAGCGGAAGTCCCTGCAGATGCTCGACTTGATGATTGTTGGCCAAGACTTAGAGCGGTTACAGTACACGGACCTAATGATTCTGATCTGGACACTGCGCATACTATACAGCAACTTACATCGCTGCGAGGCGGGCGTGCACTGCAGTATATCGACTTCGACTTTCGATGGAAACCCGATGATGAGGGCCCACTGGGTCTAATAGTCTTGTTAGAGAGGCTGAACCAAGAGCCCGAAATGCTAACAACAGACGGATACAACAAACACTGCCAGTACACAGACCTGCGCTCTCTACGTCTTCGCCGGGCCATGATACCTCCTCTGAAACTCCAGAAGGTGCTCGGCGATAGCCTTGGAGCACACAAGCTGCACACCCTGGATCTTGCTTTTCCCCTTGATCATCAATGTGCCCTTGAAGGGTCTGCCAGTACTCGACATATCCAAGACCATGACTGGCTTCGTGGAGAGCATGGCATCAGATGCATTGGACTTTCAGAGTTTAGATTCCGAGCGTACCCTAAAACCGACGACGAAATGTATTTGCCGGGGTTTCTTGCTAGCTTTCCTAACCTTGAGGTGCTTGAGATCAACTCGTCGCATTACGACCAGCGCGAATTCTGCATCATGATTGAGGCTATTCTCAAGGTTACTCACTTGCAGAAAATCTATCAGAAGACCGTTCTTGGTGATTGGGGAGATAAGCTTAGAGAGGCGACCGGGAAACAAGGCGTTGAACTGATTTGGGGAGATAGGCCGCGCCAATGGCCGCTCGTTATTGAGGATGATTCTTAATCCTTGAGTGGGTATTATATATCTGCAAACCTGTCTTTCTGAAATATCCCAGAATGAATATAGGCTGGATTTGATCCTGAGGTCGTTGCTGGAAACCTGAAAGGGCGCCCATCGTCCTCACATAGACGTCGCATCAGTTTTACAGATAGCAATTTATCGTTCAGTGGTGTTCATTGTCAAACAGCCAATATTCTCTGCCATAGTCACACCACCAGTAAGCACTTTTACCGTCTAGACTCCGCCAATCTCTGTAAATTCAGGTGTTTAATACCCAAGTCTAGGTACAATGATACTGAAGCCTCTTTCATAAGTTGCCAATGTCAAGCCACATAACTCACAGCTCAGATTTCACGAGGAGCGGAATTTCTGTTAACTCAAGCCCTTCCGACCTTGAAAGATAAAACCTGTGCATGCTTCATTAGTAAAAGAATTAAAAGGCTAAGTGTGTGACCTACATCATTCTTGCCCACTGCAACAACATCGTCTTCAGATACTCGGATGTTCCCAGCACCCTCGACAAATGCGATAGGTGCATCACCCATAACTTTACGGGCCACATCTCCAACCGTGCTGCCTTTCTTGACAAGAACACAGTCTCGGAAGACAAACTTGGACTCTGAGGCACCAGAGCTGAATGTGGATGTGTTTCGAACAGGGAAGACAGGGACGAGACCGAGCAACTCGGCGGCTTTTGAAAGGACCTGTACAACACCTGTAGATCCAAAGCGATACAGTACCATGTCCTTAAGATTCTCAATCCGTGTACGGTTCTTCTCGTCGAGATCTTTGAGACCGCCACCGGTAGGGTCGCCTTGCTCTATCAAGTCCTCCTTGGTGTCGACGAATTCGCTGCCTTCGACATACTTGATATAACCCTGCTTGGCCATTTTTCGCAGGAAGATCTCCGAGATAGCAGAGCACAGTACAATAGTGTTGGGATCTTGCTGTTTGGCGATTTTAGCGATGTTCTTATCGGCATCCGGATGGTCAATCTTGTTGAGTGCGATAACTGTAGGAAATTTCTCATCGATAAAGGCATTGACAACCATCTCAACGGTTTCGTTCGACCAATCTTCGAGAGGCTCCTTGATACCACAACGATCCAAAGCACGGTTCACAGTAGTCGTTGTTGACCCGTACCCAGAGAACTGTGCTTGCAAAGTTTCGGTAGCCGTTGCCTTAATAGCCTGGTGTCTTCGTCGGATCGATCCCCATCTTTGCATAAGATTGCCCAGGACCCAGGCGACGATCTCGCTGCGTAACCAGGCAATATCCACGGATGGGTCATAGCCTCTTGTTTCCTTACCTTCTGCGTCCACGGTACCAGAAACATCGACAACATGGATGAGAGCATCTGCATGACGCAAGTCGTCAAGGAATTTGTTGCCCAAACCACGGCCCTCGTGAGCACCAGGAACAAGACCAGCAACATCAAGAAGCTCAATAGGCACAGAACGGCGACCCTGTACGCAGGCACCGTAGTTAGGCCTACATCGATCTGATACATTGAATCTGGTACAAGCACACTCGATTTGGAGGTAGCCAATAGCTCGCTGAGGATCAATAGTAGTGAATCTATATACACATGTCAGCTCTCACCACATGCACCAGCTTACAAGAGCGCTCATGCTCATGAAGAGCACTGAAAAGTATGGAACAAGGGCGAAGCATACGGGAAGTTGCCTAAGTAACTTGCGATCAGCGCCAAGTTGAGGCAGCTTTGGCCAGGGTCTTTCTACCAACCAACTTTGGACGTAGCGTCAGTCAAGCTGTTGAGCGTTGAACTCTTACCAGCCGAGGGTTTTCCCACAAGGCCAATGAGCGGATCGCGAGGCATTGCGGAGGTATGGTGGTGTGCTGAGCAAGAGGTTTGATATGAGGCTCAAGCAGCGATTGAGCAGCTAAATCAATGTGTAAGACCAGGGTTTTGCTTCAACAATGAAGCCGACGGTGATGCCAAGAGCAGAGCAGAGCGATCCTGGTATCGGTCTGTGGTTTCGGGTATGTCGCTAATATTCCGTACTTTGTCTAGGACCTTGTGGGAATAAACAGCGCAAAAGTTGACAATAGTGAAGAGGTAGACTTAGGTGACTCCATAGCATAGAATGGAAGCCTCACGGCGCAAAATTGGTTCTCGGCCTAAAGAGGCTGAAGTGGGCCGAGAATTTATACATTACGGAATTCTGTGCTGGAATGGCTTTAGCCCGGCTTTACCGTTTCGTCTTCGCACCTGCCCATTCGTTCAGTCCATTATTTATTCTAGCTTGATTTTTGGGGCAAGAGCAGAGAAGCAGCGTGCGTTCTTTACCTTTTTCCAAAATATTTATTTCCTGCCTGGCATCATTCTGTTCTCTCTTTGATATCATGCCATCAACATCACCCCTCCCCATTGATGCTTTTCCCACTTGGGCACGTTTCAATGACGTGGATTTCGTCAATGTCAATTTGCAAGAAACGGACGGAAAGGGAATCGGTCTAGTAGCCGTGAAAAGCATCGTGAACAGAAGCGTAGCAACAGAGGGTGAGGCTCATGCGAAAGACTTACAACATGGGAAAAGTGAAGTTAGCGAGAAGGAGACTGCTGGCAGAGTAGTTGGACTCGGCACTCAACGGCACGATCAAGACTCTAACCCTCTCATACGGATTCCTTATGAGCTGGTGCTCTCAGCTGCCGCAGTTGAGGAATACACCAAGGTTGATCAAAACTTCCGCCAACTCATCGACTCTGCAGGACATCAGGTAAGACTGTGGCTGGAGTGCATCAATCCCCTCAGTCCCACAAGACGCACAAGCATACCCAGGAGTCTAAACAGAAACTAATATCGGCATAGTCGACCCGAGGCGATATCCTGATATATCTCTTAGCGCACCTTGGTCTATCCAAGCGAGATGCATCGAGTCCGAGAGGCCCTGCATCAACACCATGGACAGAGTATCTGAAATTCTTGCCTCGTGATGTTCCTGTCCCAACAATGTGGTCGGAAGTTGAGCGAGCTCTCCTCCAGGGCACTTCTTTAGAGGTAAGTGCTTCTACAAGAACGTGATCATATAAACAGACTCGGTGTTGCGGAACCGCAGCAAGTTTTGATCAGTGTGGTGGTGGATTAGTTAAGCCCCCGCAACAGGACACAACGGTCCTAACTGTGTTATAGGCTGCATTGGAAGCCAAGCTCTCATCTCTCAACAAGGAGTTTGACGAACTAAAAGAGAAATCTTCAGAGTTGGCGTTCTGGAATTCCATGTTCTGGGAGAAGAACACAGTGACTATTCAAGACTGGACCTTAGTTGATGCATGGTACCGATCGCGCTGTCTAGAACTACCCCGAGCAGGACACGCCATGGTCCCTGGACTTGACATGGCCAACCACTCGCGCAATCCCATCGCGTACTACGACCAAGATGAGAAGGATGATGTTGTGCTGTTAGTGCGACCCGGGATGGAGGTGTCGGTGGGGGGAGAAGTGAATATCGCCTATGGAGAAAAGCCCCCCGCAGAAATGCTCTTCAGTTACGGGTTCATTGACAACGAGTCCCCTGTTGAGGGACTAAATCTGCCCGTGAGAGTACTGCCCGATGACCCGTTGGGTAAAGCCAAACTTCACATCTTTGGTGGGTCGCCAACACTCAACTTGTCTCGGTCAGATGGGGAAATAAGCTGGCAATGCCCCTTTGCGTATCTGATGTGTCTGAATGAGGAAGATGGGCTGGAGTTCAAAGTCCTTCAAGGAGAGGACGGCGAGCGGGAGCTAAGACTTTTCTGGCAAGAAGAAGATGTGACAGCACAGGCAGGTGGCTTTGAAGATCTCATCAAGAACCACCCCCTTTGTCAAATCTTCAGGCTTCGGGTGGTTTCCATCTTGCATGAGGTTGTGTCTGAACATCTCGAGGAGCTCTCCTCCGAGATCTCCCATGATCAGCTTGAGCCATTACGCCGTGCTGGACACGTCAAGGATGGTAATCTCCAAGCAGCAATCAAACTCAGGGAGATTGAAGCCTCTGTGTTGGAAAGTGCTGCTTCAACTTTGGATGAACAGGTATGTACCGCTCAAAGCTATCGATTCCAGTACCACAAGTCTGCGAGACGTGTTTCAAAAGATGCCGACAATCCAAGTGGTGTTGGCGACTAGCATGATGGTCCGTATAGCTGGACCCTCTATATGACCATGTTCATGGATAAGGACGATCACCAGGCATTCCGAGTTTCCGACCAAAGTGTCTAGCGCTCTTCCCCAGATTCTCCTTCGAACCCCAGATTCTTCCCAACACAAGGACATCCCCTCCGCATCTTGGCTTGCTAGTTCATTGATGCCGAAGCCCCAGACATGGGCGCTCGGTCACACACCGAGCCTCTCCACAACCTACTGTCTTCTGTTGTACATCCAAGAAGAATAAGACGGCTAACAAGGTGCGTCATCGGGACGGTATAGAGGACCCATCTTTTTGCGGACGACCACGTGGTAGCTTATCTCGGATCGATGGAAGCTTCTCAAAGCGGACAAGCGTCTGAAGAAGGAGCCAATGATGATGTTGATTTTAGCTGACTGAAGCACCCTTCGTCGGCTGCTGCTGAGCACTGCCGCTTTGAATTTGCGGGGAATCGGCAATTGTTTGAACTGCCAGATTGAATGGAAAGCTGCTCGCATGTCGATTGCTTTTTACAAACAGCCGATGATGTAAATGCTTTTGCGAGACCATCTCTATTCTTGAAAGCCAAATGACTCTAAGCCCGTTCATACGCCGCATCTCTAAGGATGAACCGAGTTCTAGTTACCGTCAAAGTCCGAACGAAGTGCCAAATTCTTGACAGCTGTACTACAGGCTTTCAGCTCTTGGATCTCATTTCACGAGACCAGGAAATTATCCCACTTTCCGAGCCTACCGGCAGTGGAAAGGCTTGCTATGCCAGCCAGCTCAGTACGTGTCTATCACATCGGAGTCCAATTTGTGGCAATCCTTGGGAAGGATAAATGTGCCCCCCAACTTGTGAATCTGTGAGGGCTGAACGAGTTGTGAGGCAGTGTTAGTTGTGATTGATGATTCTGAGGTGAAACCCAGCCCAATGGCCGTTGAGACGGCGAAGAAGACATGAACTGTCCACAGTAAAACTACCTATATCAAATTATTGCCGTGATCCTTAAGTAGAACCGTTGATTCTGCCCGAACCTGTTGGGTAGTCGCGAACCCACTTGATACAGAGCAAGTGCGGGCAATTTCAAGGATCAGGGGATACCGTGAATAGGCGCACCGGGTATGTTGAAAACTCAACCCCAGGTTTTCGTTATGAACCTGGATTCTAAATACGATCTATCTTTCCGGGCTGTTCTCGTGGGGAAGCGAAGCGCAGCAGCAACGATATCAGGCTTGTGCACTATATTCACACCCTGGGGTTATTTGACACACACCTATTTCCCAGAGTTCGGGACAGCTTCAGCTGCAGTCTTTCCTCCGAGTTCGAAAAACTCGATAGAGAAATCACAAGAACAATTAAGGGGCATGGCGATAGATCATTTCGGTCTAAGCCAAAGGATAGGTTTCTGGATATGAGTCATTGCTCTGGCTATTGATTGCACTTCCATGGATACCATTCAGTGACGACGGCCTACTGCCTTGCAAGTTCCATCTGTTTTCATTAACAGCGTCAAAGTCCTGGTTGCACGTCACTTAAGCCCCACCCTGATAAAGACATCCATTTGATTGACATATGTTTTACGACATTATTGCAACGGATAGCGAGCAGTATACACGGCGCAGTTTATAGGATGCGATTCATGAAGCCTGCAACCTCAAAGGCTGCACAAATGAGGGCGTTCCTATTCGCACCTTGAAATGTGAGATTGATGGCACCAGCCCCTTTCAACTACTACCAAAACAAAAGAAAAAAGTGACAACAATCTGACTAGATCTCCTACCTGGGCTTTGATGAGAATTCCAGGGCCCAACTGTAAGGAACTAATTAGAGATTAGCTGCGGATCACCCTGTGATCTGCGTCAGGTCCGCACTTAGCAAACGATTGCGGCTCCGATGTGGGTCTCTGTTGCGGTTCCCCCAGCGACCCCCCAGCCCTGGGACATGATACATCGAGGCTTGAAACTAAGCTGGGGCTGCTCTGCTCAATACCCGGTTCCATTGGTTAACTAATAGTCAGACAGTGTTTGACGTGCAAGTTCCATGAGATGTGGGTGGCCGATCTCGAAGCTTTCTACTGAGTCTACTTGAAGCTTGGGCCTGGCCTCGAGGCCCGTGGACGAGACTTGACTTGCATGAACGAATCGGAACGCAGCAAGTCGTTTCTTCACCTTGATGATGTGCCCTCGATTCACAGGCTTCCACCGCGGTGAGCATGCCAGTGCCATGCTTCTTTTTATTAGTGGCAATCTTGAGCTGCCCAGCCCTGCGGAACCAGGTACCGGACTGTACCGCACCGTAAACTACGTTGGGAATTGGGTCAGTCTATCCGTTCAAGCCATTATACTCCTGACCTTTCTTACCTTCACCTGTGCCGCAATTACACAGTTTCACCGTTCACATTACGACTGCAGCTCAGCTCAATCATCAGGATCTGCGAAGACGGCAGCACGACGGGCGAGTCAGGAACTTAGTGCATAAGAGTGTGAAGCTTGGTTAAGTCACTTTGAGTGTCAGATGTGGCAGCTTCGTGGCTAGCAGTGTCCCCGTTGGGTCCATAAAACCGTGTAGTTTCTGGGTCTACTAGTACATGAAGAAAACTGGTAAAGAGGCGATGCCAATATGTACGACATCATGTTTAGTTTATAACATGATCGAAGCTGGGATAATGATGAATATCAGATAAAGCTAAGGGTCCGTTACGATTATGGCGAGCCCACCACGGTGAAGCTGTGTCCTGTGAGATATGCAGGGTGTTGCGGCTTGCCTAGGGGATCGCCTTGAGGTTGTGCAATATGTACGTACTTTGCGGCTCCGTTTGCAAATCAGGCTGAGGCCGTTAGGGCAGAGATTTAAGACGAATCAACTCAGAACTGTTAGTGAGCAAACGCTCCGCCAACACCAAACCCAAGTTAGAACCTCATGGCTAGGGCGGCACGGGAAAAGGCGAGCAATGACCAGGCTGATGGCCATGTGTTTTCATAGACTAAGGTACTAGAAACTGCATTAGGTTACAAGGTCAAGATCCCGCCTGTTCTCAATCAAGTTTAGCAACTTATCAATTTCATATAAGTCCTCATTTAGAGGATTCGTTGTGCGTTGATGAAACCCCAGCTATGGCTAGTTGAATCTGATATGCTTTCTTGTGGTGGTACATGTTGACGGCGCTTACTATTTATTATTCAGCTTGCGGTTGGGCTACAATATTATACGCGGAGGAGGAGGATAGAGTTGACTGTTATACATAACTCTAACAAAGTGATGCCACAATTTGTCTTCCCCGCACTATGAAGGCTTACCAGGTGCATGGATCAAAAGCACATAACAATAGCATTATCAAATAATCCGGGGTAACGAAACCCTATCCTAGAGTGTTTGCTCGTGAAGAAACAGTATGGGAAAGAGACGGACAAGGCCGGGAGGGTGTGAAGTAATGGGCTGTTGTTCACGTCTCAGAGTGTTCTAGAGTCGTGCGGGTGGTGCCATTCCCGACATTGGGGTCAAGGGTTGCTGTGGGCTGACGACCTGCAAAGAACAGCTGAACGGATGGATATCGATAGCACGATCCTGTACTTTGATACTGCCTTTGTCTTGTATCTGTTCTGTAAACTACCTTACCTACGTGCTTGATCCTTTCCGGAAACTGACGATGGTATAAGGGCTATGAAGCCATGTGGTTGGTAGCCGCAACGATCTTGACTGATGGAAAATAGATGACAATTATACAACCATTGACAAGGTACTCCCAAATGCCAATGATTGGCGTATTCGTGCATTGTAGAGAATAATTTTGAGCTTAATTTGCAGTCGATCCTTGATGGACAAAGCATACGTAGGTCTGATACCAGTAACAAACTCAACCAACACGTGTATATACAAGTAGACTGGCATCCATAACATAGCCTATCCGTTTACACAACTTCCCGGACTTGTTGAGAGTTTAACTAAAGTATCTGACCTCGGTATGATTAGCCCAGGGCCAGCGACCAAGCATATGTGACTCTTGTGGAAGTCCAAGACATCTGCCTCTCCCTACAAGGTAAAGACGAGCGTGACAAAGATACTGGGGGTCCGCTTGGGTCGAAGTTGAATCAAAACGAGTTGAGTTACAACCCGCGGACAGAGTCGAATAGCCCGAGGCTTCAGCGGTTATGGATCGCTGCAGGCACGTTTTTACTAATACCACCCCCGACTAACACGGATCTCATCATAGACGCCCCAGATAGCGCTAAGACAATCTCGAACGGCAGCTGCGGCTGTAAGTACCGCATGTACCTGCTCGCTAAAACAGGACCCTCAGAGCACACATTGGTACCTGTCGAAACTGCCCTCCTACGTTCTTTCCTTCCCTCATTTTTGGGGGGTGCTTCTACTTCACAAGAAATTCTAGCGAGCGCATGGAAAGACCCAGTGGGAACCGCTCTTCAATCCACATTGTAATGAGCCCGACAACTGAGGTGAGAGCGATTGCATGGATAGATTGGCATTGGCATCGGCATCGGCATCATCACGATGCTCGGCATCTGCAATGGCAGAGCGAATACCGTACTGTACAGTAACTCTTCTAAGTCTCCTAGTTCCTAGAACAGACTGTCAAGGTGTCAACCATGTGCTCTGCAACGCCGTGTACGCACTGTACCTCATCGTCATGATCCACGCCTGCCCACGCTAACCAGAACTCTGCAAAGTCTGGTATTGGGACGCCAAGAATACGCCCCCGTCCCTTAGATTGTATCCGCATTTCGTACAATGGGAATGGCTGTCTCTCTTTCTCTTTCCCTCCATCTCTTGCACTTCACCTCAACTCAGTAAAGCATGGATGGATCCTGGGTCCTAGTTAGTGGTTAATAGTGGCAGGCATGGCACTGACCCTCCACTTCGTCCCTGCCCTGGTCTTCCCCCAGGATTTCTAGTACGTCTTTCTCCACACCTCAAGGACAAGACTCAACCCATTCCCATTTCCTCATTTCTACTAAATCTTGCTCTTTCCCACCCCAGTGATCCCGAATCTTATCTTCTTTCCAATTTACCTTTATCTTTCACCATTACCATTGTTCCTTCGTGTTCATGTTCTTTTACCCCTATCGGGATCTTTTTCACATATTACATTTAAATATTCCTCCTTATATCCTCATCTTCTCCCTCCAAGATACCCATTCGTCATATCTATCTACTCACTCAACTTCCATTATATAACACCGCGTTATTGCCAAACCCCACCAATCAAATCATCCGCCCACAGTACACACTTAATTAGCCTGGTTACCTTTCAAGTACCAACTCGAGACCTCGGCTATTCATACCTTAGTAGGAACCATTCGAGAATTCGGAATTTGACCGTTCGATCGTGGATGCTCTTGTTGGCGACAGAGTAAATCCCATACAACACAATATAATATCCAAGGAGTATCCTGGTGCAGCACACAGCAATCCTGGCAGTTCGATCACCGGCCAGCGGATTTTTCGGCAATTTAGCCGCCTTGTTACATAACTATATACGATACGGCCCGTCACATATAACCACCAAAATGCCCGGAATCCTACCTATGAAGGTCATCAAGGTGGGCACTAGCTCTCAGAGCCGAATTGCCCAAGCTTGTGATCGTTGTAGAAGCAAAAAGATTCGTTGTGACGGAATTCGCCCTACATGTTCTCAGTGCGCCAATGTCGGTTTTGAATGTCGGACAAGCGACAAGCTCAGCCGCCGTGCATTCCCTCGTGGATACACAGAATCGTTGGAGGAACGCGTACGACAACTGGAAAGCGAAGTTCGAGAGCTCAAGGATTTATTAGACGAGAAGGACGAAAAGATCGATATGCTTTCTAAGATTCACGGCAACCGACCAAGTCCTTCAATGCCCGTGAGCAGCCCTGCTATCCCGGAATCTCGGAATGAAACACAGGTTGTAAAAGAGGATACCTTCCGTGTACAAGCTGCGCCTTTATTGCTTGGAGTTGAGAACTCTGATTCTTACTTCATGGGCGCATCCAGTGGCCGCACCTTTATCGGTAATTCCCCTTGCCAGCTTTCTGTTGACCCTGACTGACACATGCAATCAGACGCCTTCAAGCGCAAACTTCAAGAAGCCGGAAAACCTAGCACTGATTTCCATACAGAAGCGTTCTTGCATATCCAGGGGTGTAAGTCTCTTGGTCCCAAGACCTCTGAACAACCCTACGCAGCCCCTCCTCGCCTCTTCTCCGATCGCTGCGTCAATGTTTACTTCCAAGAGTGGGCACCTCTCTTTCCTATCCTGCATAAGCCAACATTCCTCCACGTCTACGAGGAGTTTGTGGCCGACCCAGAGAAAGTCAAGAGTAATCACAAGCTTGCACAGCTTAATCTTGTCTTCAGCATCGCCGGCCTTTCATCAGATAACCCTGATCTCCCTCAACTTGCCGCATGTGAGGAGCAATGGCGGGCCGCGCTCGACGCTGTCCTAATGGAGAACACCATGAGCACTCTCCAATGCCTTTCCCTTGCTGTTCTTTATTGTACCATGCGCGCCGACTATAAGCGACTTCAACATTACAAAGGCATCGCCATTGGTCTTTCTCATCGCCTAGGCTTGCATCAGAGCCAGAAGAGATTCTCCTTTGGTGCTCTTACAATCGAGACCCGTAAGAAGGTCTTCTGGACTCTTTACACCCTCGACTGCTTCTCCGCCGCTACTCTTGGCCTTCCCAAGCTCCTCAAGGAGGAAGATATCCAGGCTGAATACCCATGCGATACTGACGATGAGTATGTCACTGAGAAGGGTTTCCAGCCCACCCTTCCTGGAGAATACACTCGTTTGTCGAATGCACTGGCCCTGTTTCGTGCAACGCGCATTCTTGCCAAGGTGCTAGAGAAAAATTACCCCGCCTCGAGCTCCTATGAGATCTCTCTCCAACAGATGGCTTCACTAGAAAGTGAGCTGGATGCGTGGTACCACCATCTACCTTCTCATTTGCGACTCACCTTCGTTCAAGATAAGCCATCCACGGATGTGACTGGTAGCCGCTCGCCTCTGCTGGCTCTGGCTTACTACTACATTCGCACCCTCATTTACCGTCCCGCAGTTGGCTCCAACTTGGGCCCAAAGGCAGCTTCAGCTCTAGTATCTATTGGTTCATCGAGCAAGCACATCATTCAGATTATCCAACTCCTTGAAGAGCGTGGCATGACTTTCTCTTTCTGTCTGAACAGGACTGATCTCCTGGTCGTCTGTGGAATGACGCTTCTCTATCACTCAATCGATCTCAAACAAGACAGCAAGATCATGCGCGATGACGAACGCTTGGTAAATGCCGTGATTCGCATCCTGGATAAGACCGATGCTTCTGGGTCGTTCGATTTCAAGCGTGTGGCTAGCATGCTTGTCACAGTTGACGAATCCGCTGGCTCGCCAATGCAGACTTCACGTGAGATGTCGATGGCCCCCGCGCCAGTTTCCAACCGAGGATCGCCACCAACCGGGGGAGTATCCAAGTCCAAGAAGAAGAGAAACACAGCCTATCCCTTTGGTCAACTCGCCGCGGCTGCATCCAGTGAGAGTAACCTTATCGATCACCAGGAGAGGTTGCGCCGCATGACAATGCCATGCGAAGCCGACTCTCGACCTGATAGTTACCGTGCCCGGGCTCGTCAGTCATTTGATAATCTCCATGCCGAGGCCCCTGTGGCTCAGCGAGGTCATCGTATGTCTACATCGCCTAGACCTGAGCGCAAGGCTTCCCCTCTGTCCCGCAATCTTGACTTTATGCCCTTCGCCCACAGCTCACAGTCGCCCCAACCGCTTTCACCCAATCAAGCTCGTGCACACTCTCATTCTGGAGCGACACCCCAGGCGAATCACCTGATGATGAATTCTCCTATGGCTGCCGCTAAAATGAGCGGGGTTTCGACTACTGAATGGGAGACTCTTCTGGGGTCATTGGATGGTGGCATGAACAATGTCTACGACGCCATTTACGGTGGACAGGGACTTGTGAACGAGAGTGCGATCGCTGTAAGCAACTGCGGCGACTGGCCTCCGGATAACTGGGACCTTGCTGGCTTTAGTATCACCGAGTTTGGAAGCAACCCACAGCCTCCTCAAAGTGTTCTCAGCATGAGCGATGAGAGCCTTAGCTCGGGCGAAGAAGTCGGACCTTCAGAACTCGGATTAAGTGTCGACAGCGTCGACTACCGCAACCACATGGTGTCACAGCAGCACAATCACGAGGCATATGTGATTTCCGATCGGATGGACACATTTCCTATTTTGCAATAGCGGAAGAAAATATGATACTTTGGACAGTTGTTCTTGTGAAATTGGGCGTTCAGGCAAGCGTTTCTTTTCAATGGCGTTGGGTTATGTTTCATAAATGTTGAAACGATTTGATGATTTTGGGAGACGGCCAGGACTTGCTAGGGGGCCGCTCTCGTTATTTCTTGATATGAGCGTTTCCGTTTTGGATTTACCGCGCTATGATACTTGGAGCATAATTCGACAGATACTTTATTGACACTGATAGCGGTTCTCTGCTTGTTCTCAGGAAGAGACTCGTATCAGTCCAACATGATGGCCAGAGTCCGAAGACCAGCCTCGCAATGCGGTGAGGCCTAGAGGATCTAGTTCTCAGCTTGTGTATTGCAAAAGAATAAGAAAAAGCCAATTCATCCTAAGTCTCGAAGCATCCCAGTGACAGGACACCAATCATCGTACTCAGTAATTGCTTCGGCGCCCTCGACGCAGAGCGGGTGTCTACAGCAGGGCTCACTTTGCATTGCATGGCATGTGCATTCAGAGGTAAAAGTAGTGGCCGTGTCCCTTGGCCGGTCGCCCCGGTCTCCAAATGGGATATGAAAAGGTGGGAAACGAGAAGAGGCAGCCTTGGCCGGATCTGACAGGATGAGTTGCCGGTGTCGAAGCCAAGGGACTGGGCCGCAGCAGTAGGAACGAGGGATATGAAGGAGAAGGTGTGCGAGGGTCAACTTTCGGTTGACCACTTGCAACAAGTTGTTGAGCGTGTGCCTCGGCAGCGATCCCGGGCTTGCAGCTATACATACTACAGTACCTATGCTGTGTAATTGACCTGTGAGATCGATCCTTCGAGAACATCAAAATGAATCCTGTGCGGCCAATTCGAGGACCGCTTTTTGGTGCTCTGATTTGCCTGTCTAACCAGCAATAGCGTGTGTCTATCAACTTTACATATGACTGTCAACTACGGTGTGGATGGTAGTACTGTTGATGGCATGGATTGCACTACAGATGTGAAGCCGAGGTTGAAGAAGGCATGACCAGTGTATAACTACGTAGTAGATATAACTCACCTGACAGATCTTGCACGATTCTATGTTAAGAAAGGAGAAGAATGAAAATGAAAAAGGTTTCTAGTTCCATTGCATGTAAGTCAAACGGAAGTGGTGATGAGATGAGGCTGGCGGTAGTGAAATGTGGCCGTGCATGTATTCGCTTGGAATGACGTTTCCAAGTACTCTGTAGCTCGCACCAGCCTGTCGCGCCTTCCCGAATCCTGGGCGACTAACGTACCACGTATGTCCTGGTAACCTAGATTCCCAAGTTCCTTTCTGGCGGTGGACCTGATTAATGGGGAAGGATCCATTAACCATGACACATCGGGGCAAGAATGTCCATGTCTAGGTCTTGCGATATCCAGAATCGATGAAGACGAGGTTCCTCACTAACAAGGGGTGTTTGCATCGGTTCGCTTCGTCATTTCATTGCCAGGTGGGCTATCGCAGGGGGCCAGTTAGGACAGCCATCTCAATCCTCTCGCCGAAGCACCTCCAACAATCTACCCAAAAAGCAACTACAATGTCGGAGGAAAGACAACCTTCCATTGACAAGGATGCTCAATCAGCGGCTGCTCCCAAAGGTAAGACGGGCAAAATAAGCTTCTACAGCATGGCCGCTAAATTCGATTGGTATTACAGCAACATGGGCCGTTGCGCGGTCATCGCTCAGGGATCCCACTCGTCGACTTCCGCAGGCGATTGCACATCGCGGCGCAAAGGTCGACTGGCCTGAAAATACAATGGCTGCCTTCCGAGGTGCAGTCACTGCCGGAGCTCACGCTATAGAGACCGATGTACATCTTTCTTCTGATGGAATCGCTGTTATATCACATGTAAGTCAAAGTCCAGCGTTGACTAGCCGTTGTGAATGTCAATGCTCATCATCACTCGATTGGATATACTAAACTCATCTGACTTCTGAACAGGACCCTTCGCTCAAGCGCTGCTTCGGGGTGGACGCTCGTATTGCCGAATGCTCGTGGGAGTACCTTAGCACCCTGCGTACGGTAGCTGAGCCGCATGAGCCCATGCCGCGGCTCAGGGACTTCCTCGGATGGTTAAACCAGCCTGAACTTGAAAAGATCTGGGTTGTTTTGGATATCAAGGTAGGTATATCAGCATTTATTGTGGCATGGAAGCTAATGCAGGCTTACACAGCTTAATGACAGCCCTGCAGACTTGATGTGTGCAATTAAGAGAGCACTAGATAGCGTCAATGGACCAGTCCCATGGGACCAGCGTATTGTGCTTGGATGCTGGAACGTGAGTTATTTCTCAAGACTCACACCCACATGTTCTGAAATCTTGTTCCAACTTACAGCTGACATGACACAACAGGCGTCATTCCTACAGGCCGCACGTAGTCAGCTGCCAACCTATCCTCTGGCTCATATCAGCGCCTCTCTTTTGTACTCGCACCACTTCCTGAAAGTGCCGGACCTCGGCTTCAATCTCAATCAGAATACTCTGGTTGGTCCTTCGGGGAAGCTCTTTTCACGAGAGCTTCAACGAACAGATAAGCTTCTCATGACATGGACTGTCAACCAGTCTCGCCGTATGGAATGGTGTCTTCGTCAAAACTTAGGTCACCCGCGGCGTGCCAATAGTAAAGTGCAAGGGCCGCCGCTCATTGACGGTGTAATCACTGACGATCCACGTTTATATCTCGAGGTATGCGAGAGATTCGAGGACGAGATGGATGGCAAGTTCGTCAGATCAGACCCGGCACTAGCTCAGAAGGTGAGAAACAAGGCCGAGACGGTAGCATTCGTCCTCGTCACCCAGGTACTGATGATTGTCTATCATGTTGTGAGGAGAATGCAAGGCAAATTCGATTTTCTCAGAGACCGTCGGACATTAGACAAACGATAGACAAGGGACACATACACTTGCAATTCAATGGATGCCTACAAGATGAACATACCGGGGGGCGCCTGCTTGTTAGGTTCGGACTGGCTGCCAAATTGTAGAAGCTTTGCGCCAAGTGTATAAGGGGACGCATTGTAACGTATAACTTGATAAAGCGAGAGGAACTGAAATAGATAATAGGTACAACAAAGCGCCGCTCTGACAAGCCTTGGAAGTCCCCTCGACATAGTGTCACATAGAGATGTCCTTGCGTGACGTTTTGCTTGTGGTCAGATCAAGACGGTTAATTCATTTAGACGCAGATCTAGTTATCAGCTTTTGTTCTAGCCCATGAAGCAAATTAAAATATACAATGTACAACCAAAACCCTCGCTTCTCGTGATGCTTCTGTACCCGAATCCCCTGTTTTCTTAAATTTCGACATCAATATCCAGGTCTAGTGACCCGATAACATCGTCGTCCATCAGGGGTTTATGAATCGTCGGGATGCCCTTTTCCTTCTGCTTCTCTTCTTGCAATTTAACCAGATGAGGTAATAACTGAGACTTCGCAGCTTGCTTTGGGGTGCCGTTTCCGGGGGTACCAGTTCCACTCCCGTTGGTCGCTGGCTTTTGTTCCACCTTATCATTATCGTCGTGAACAAACTTGGCCTTTGTCCTTAGGCGCCTCGACATGTCGCCCTGGTATGTCTCGCCACGTTTGAGAGCCGCCTCAATTTCCTTGGATTTGGCTTTCTCCTTCAATTGGGCCTTCCGTACGGCTTCCGCGTTCAAACGTCGGTTCTCGCGGTTACGCTCAGCTAATCGGTCTTGTTCAGTTTGTGCCTTAGGTGCTTCGGAATGTTTGGAAGGCCCCAAGCTCGTCCTGAACGCCAAACGCTGCGAGCCGAGGTTGTCAAGTTCCTCTTGTAACTCTTCGGCCTTGTCGTCGTCACCACGCTGTCTGGCTTCATCGAGTAATCTGGCAATACGTTCTCGTTCCGCCGGATCAAATCGACGTTTCAACTCATTGATCCGCGCGAGACGAGCTTTGATCTCTTCGGTAGTCCATGAATGGTTAATGAGTCTGTTGATGTCATCAACCTTATCCGTTAAGAAGGATTTAGTCGGAAGAGTGACGCCCTCATTGTGGCACGTAACTTTGTAACGATTGAGTTCGCCCTGTCAAACGAGTTAGTATAGCCCTAGCAGCGCGCTCGTGACAAACATACATCTGTGAACTTTCCGCTCGAGGCGGCGATGAAAGGAAACTCTTTGATCGCTTTGCCGTGCGCCGCCTTTACGTACTGATCGGTAACAAGCACACCTTGAGGCCCCTGGATAGCATACGGTCGGCCGGTCGAAAATCCTAACTATATCAGTACTATTTACTCCATGGACGCCTCAACTGTTGCTTACCTTTGATCACTGCCATACGATATTGCTCTATGCCAGATTCAGGATGCGGTCCCAGAGCGATGCGAATATAGCATCCAACAATGCCTTGCTCGAACCCAGGGTGGAAGCAGACCTGCGCAAACTCATTTCGCCCTAATCGGACACGATCATAGTCACGCAGCTCAGCTGGTGGCTGATCGCGAACATCGTCAACATCGGGTGTAGGCGAACGTCCACGGTTGTAGTCGTCATCGCTGTCTTCAGCCCCGGAGTCACCCCGGCGCGGAGAGTAATTATCTTTCCGTTTCTCGAGATCCTCACGCCGGCGTGCCTTTTCTGCCTTGGCTTGACGTAGTGAGTCCATTGCGGTTCCTCTCTTACTCTCCGTGCGTGGCCGGGATGCCTTTCGATCGCCATCTTCCAACTCGGCAGTTCCAGCACTGCGCTTCTTCTTAACCTGTTTGCGCTCTTCATTCTCCATGTTACTGACCATTTGACGAAGCAGGCGGTTCTGGCGCTGGCGCTCAATCTCCGTCATTCGGTCGGCAATGATTTGCTCGCGCTCGAGTTCCGGTAGAGCCATGATCTCTGCCTTTTCCTTCTGACTCCTGTATCGACCGTCGACTGGGTAGTTCTCATCATCATCGTCCGCAGCGACAGCTCGTCCTCGAGATGGCTCCGCGTCCGAGTCGGATTCATCCATGGGAGCAGACTCAAGTGAATTTGGCGTTCCAGGGGCAGAGGACCTATGTTAAGATAGGTCAGCAAGGGTTGAGAAAATGGCATGAAGCTGAGAAGTCGGCAAGCACAAGACAAGGCAAGCTGTCCAGCACACAGCTCCAATCAGCATGCCCCTCCAGCAAAGGATTCTACTTACGCCTCGCCCTCCTCCTCGGAATCATCGCCGCCTCCTCTCCGCGCCTTGCTCCCTGTTTCCCTCTTTGAGCCACTCCTCTTGGCTGGCGGCGGCGATGCCGATCCACGTCTACTTCCATTATCGGAACCCTCATCGTCTGAGGATCTACCCGCAAGATCGAGAAGGTCGTCTTCAACGTCAGACATAATGAAAACCGTCGCAGGCCGAAGGTGACCCAAAGCGCAATGGTTCAGGGGATAGCAATCGTGTAACTGGATGGAGTCGCGTAATACGCGTGTCTAGATGAAAAGACGGGGAATTAGGAGATAAACGAGGTCCAAAAAGATGCGCAAACGTGCGCGCGGGTGGTCGAAGCGATGAAAAAGGCGATTGTTGATGGGAGAATAGGAGAAACTGTTTGTGCCAAAAGTGAAGGAGCTGAATAGCTTGTTCTTTCTCAACCTGTTCTAAATTCGAGTTCCCAGGCAGTACCTCATTGGCCAGAGGCTACATCATGCCGCCGCACGTGTGTGGCTGATGCGCGACACGGGGAAGCTTTAATCCGCCTCGGTGAGGTCTTGGTCAACGGTGTACTCACCGAGATAATCGGCGCCGTCATAGTTATCGTCCGATTCAGGGTCCGCTATTAATTGGTAACAAGAAGCATTCGAAGACTTTGTAGCAATCATAATCATGGCTTCATCTAGGGCTCTGATGAGACCTGTGCGCTCATTTGGAGTACGAACACCAATCTTGTGCAGGCCATGCCTTCGCACCATTGCAACGACATCAAATGCTCAAGCTGCTGTATCAAACGGTTCTTCCGAGACTCCTAAAAAGCTTAAGCCTCTCACACAAGAGCAACGTGACTACCTGGACTCTGCTGTAGGATTTCCAAATTCAATTTCTACTATTTGACAGCTAACGTGCTGCTAGCTTCGTGTCAATCAGGCTGGTGAGCTTGCTGCTGTTCTCATCTATGCCGCCCAGTCGCCTATCCTTGTCCGATCAAAGCCACACCTCCGCAAGCTGATGGCGCACATGTATGACCAAGAAGATGGCCACTTCAAGACGTTTAACAGTCTCATACACAAGCACCGTATCCGACCTACTGCCATGTACCCTCTATGGTCCGTCATGGCGACTGGGCTGGGTTGGTCCACCGCCATGATGGGTTACGAAGCTGCCATGGCTTGCACCGAGGCCGTCGAAACCGAGATTGGGGGGCATTACAATGAACAGATTCGAACTCTGTTGGAAATGGTTACGCAGTGGGAGGCCGAAGGCTACGAAGTTGGTCAGGAGTTGTCGAACCTTGTCAAGACCCTTAGGGTGATTCGAGATGAGGAGCTGGAACATCTGGATCATGCTGTTGAGCATGATGCGCAAAAAGCAGAGCCTCATTGGCTCCTTACCGGCGTCATTCGTGCAGGCTGTCGCGGAGCTATCTGGGTCAGCGAGAGGGTGTAAGTTAAAGCTAGTTGTATTATAACTGTAATATAGACATAGGGGTGGCTCTTGCGGTGTATATAGGACCAGCATACTGAAGGAAAGCTCGTGGGGTGGAGGATGATCGCGCCCATCGAATGCTTCCCTTGCGATAATAAACAAAACACCTAATCAACTCCATGCAATGCTCTAGTGCCCAATCATGAAACACACCGCTCAAACAATGCGATTAAAGACAGTAACGCTTAGTTGCTGTACCCCGTTAGTACGTTGTGCTGTAATAATGAAGGAGGAGGAGGACTTACTAGATAGCCAAGGGGGCAACGCCATCTACCTGGTAGCCCCAATTTCCATTTTGCTCTTCAGTAAGGAGCCAGTCGTATGGAAATTGGACGATGTTTCCCTGTACCATGTTCAGAAGCTCTTCGGCCTGCCCTCGGTTTGGCATATCGTCTATGCTGAAACCGCGTCGACTGTTCTTAGTGGTTGCGCGGCGCCTGCGCTTCACTGAGCCAATTTGTCCCGGTGGGGGAGCGTTGGTGTCCCTTGAAGATGGTTTCTCGAGGGTGGAGAAAGTAGTCCGCCTTTCTCGATCCTTGGTGCCTGCTTGAGGCTCTAAGAATCTTCCACTATTCCCCCCATCAAAAGCTGGGAAAGGGGTGTCACCAGGGGCATAGACAGGGGACGGTGCCTCGGCTGGATGCTGGGTGTCGACGGCGCTCTCAGTATCCAGTCCAGTGTTCGGTCGCGATGGGACAGCCTCGCCGTCTTTCATTGCCTTCTTCTCATCAAGGCCACCATCTCCCTCATCAGGGATGACAATCTTGATTCTATCTTCGTCATGGTGCCCACCAATGGGCATCTTCTCAGTCATTTTTCCTAAAGCCTTCTCCGCCTCTGTCTCGGCAGCCTTGGCTATCACCTCGGGACCTGGTGCACTAACACCTGCACCACCAGCTGTTGAGTTACGATGTCTCGAAGAAGGTGGAAACTCGGAATCTTCACCCCTAGATTGACCGGGTTCCATGCTCTTACGGAACCTCTCACCATACGATGTGTACGCGTTATACTCGGCCCAGGTGCTGACTTCCGAGTCAGGCATGCAGCGGAACACCCGGCGATAAAGCTTGGTATTGTTTTGAGCAGCACGGTTCCAGATTTCGTCAAAGAAATTGGGGTTGACCGGATCGATCATGCAGTTCTTATCGATATGAGCCAGTTGGATATCTGCGGCCATAGGGTGGAAAACACCATTGACTGGCTTGCCCGTTTCAGGGTCGATGTACAATGGAGGGCCACCGATATCAGTGTCATCACTTATCGGCAAAGATGGCAGTTGTGCAGGACGAGGGAGGCCAAGCTGATCTGTGGTACGGCGATTCAAGGCAGGCATAGGTGGGAGGCCGTCGTTATGATTTCCAGGGTCGATGTATCTGTTATCGGGTTGGGGAGCATGTGGCTGAGCTTCCATGGGCGATTTCAATGTTCCTTTGCCTTCGTTGCTGATATTGTTAACAAGAATTTCCCTGCCATTGATGATCACTGAGTCACGGCCTGCGTCAAGGCCGGACTTTTCAGCACTCTTCCAGCGATCGGGACCATAACCCGTCACGTCCAGCTCATGCTTCACTTTGTTCTCTGGTCCATGAATGACTGTGCCTTCTGCTTCTGCGGGGCTGCCATGGCTGCTGCTGCTGCTGCTGCTGCTGCTACTCTCTTCAACTTCAACGGCAGCGTCAAGGTCATGGTTGATGCTGGGAATGCGAGGGGGTTCAGGACGGGTGGCAGATAGTTTTAAGGGGTCAGAGGGGCCGCTATTTTCCTCTTCGTAGATAGCCTCCATCTCTTTCTCAAAATCTTGACGGTCAAGTTCTTCCTGTCGTTCTTCCTCCAGGATTTCGTCAACATCCAGACCCAAGTGTTCTCGCATCAGTCGAAGACGCAGTGTATGGGCAAAGCGGCCGACCTTGTAGGGTTTCCCAGCCATTGTCGAGTTGATCATGTCAGTGTCTCGAACAATCGCAGCACACTCTGAATCGCGACTACCCAGCATTGATCGCTCGTTGATATTGGCCGAACCGATGAGAGCAACTCGATCATCGACAATGATCGTCTTGGCGTGGATATAGAGCTGCTCAGTGACAAGAACATCGTTGCTCATGATGCCCCATTGACGGAGCGAGTAGAAGCTGATGTAGTCCTCTGGCTCAATATCAGCAGCCTTGAGCCGGCCAAAGATAGACTGCTCGCCTCGGCAGATACTTGCATACTGGCACATGAGAATCAGGCGAACACTTGTACCCTCCTGTTCATCGACCGTGTTCTGGAAGCCAGGCATCAGAGGGATAACAATGGCACAGCGCCAGTCTTCATCATTCTCATGAGCTCGGATGATACGTTCAACCAGGGCGTCACCGATACGGTTAACGATTCGTGTGTTGTAGGCTTCAGTACTCGTGATGAAGAATTGGTTCTCCATGTAGACAAAGTGATCCGACTCCTCGATCATCTTGATGTAGGCATTCTGGATGCTGTGCTCAGTCTGCTCAATACCTAGTGACCATGTGCTGGCGGATCGGAGAATTTGAACTTCGCATGTTCCAGTGAGCCCAAGCTCTTTCAGCTCATCGATGTTGGCATCCGGGGGCGGAAGCAGAAAGGGCAAGGGTCGAGTAGGCTTGCGCCCTCGACGTAAGTAGTTCCAACGCTGAACAAAGTGGCGCGTCAGGTCTCTTGCAGGCTGGCCAACGACTTGCATGGCTACATCATGCCAAGGCATTCGAGGTACCTTGGTTCGATCATACATCTCCTCATATGGCTCATTGAGCCTGAAAAAGTCTTGTACACGAGGGTTTGAGTAATCTTTACCAGGGAATAGCTGGCAGTGCTCTGCATCCTTTGGCGTCTCCGACATCTCGAAACCTGTTGGCTTATCGTCAACGATAGGGTGTTGAGGGCAGTCCCAACGGCCAAAGCAGAGATCAATGCCTCCAACAAAGGCTACATCATGGTCCACAATACAAATCTTCTCGTGATGGGCGAAGAAGAATTGGTTTTTCTTGAACTGGTTAGGAGATCTTTGAACGAAGATATTGGGATGAAGATTCAAGAGGGAGAATTTGGTGTATTCCGAGTCGATCGGAATGGCGGCCTCGACGTTTCGGTAAACGATGACAAAGACCTTAACGCCTTCTCTGGCCTTCTTCTGAAGAAGTCTGTCCAGTCGCCATTTTTGGCTGATAGCTGCTGGTCGTCGCATATACAGCTCAGGACTTAGCCACCAATCATGAATGTAGATGACATCGCGAGCCATGTTGATGGCCCTGGAGACGTTCCACATGTAGTCGCGACCGTCGACAAGCCATTGAGCAAACACGTTGGTTCGCACCGGAGCAAAGCTATCGAAGCGCTTTTCTTCATACCAGGGCGTCTGCTTAAGCATCTGATTAATCGAGTCTTCGAACTGCTTCATGACAGACTGGTTGCGAGAGAAGAGGCGGATCTTGCGTTCGGACGAACGCAGAGTCATGGTGTGATGCTTGTCGGGGGGTGCCTCCACAGTCAAGTCGATTTCGGCCTTCTTCTCTTGGGAACTGATTGCTTGGGCCTTGCCTCTCTTTGAAGAGATGCTGAACTTGGCATCGACCAGGTATACATCAAAAATGTTCATGTTCTCAGGAGATTCTACGCACACAATGTAGCTTTGTCGTACGAGGAACCATTTTCGGCTCCGACGAGACACAACCTTGGCAGGCGTTAATGCGCGACGGAAGTCAAGGCCCTTCGAAGGTTGAATGTGGAGATAACACTCCTTCCCATGATAACTGCCTTCGGCTGCAAGTCGAACACCGAGAGCAGACAGTTCGAGGAAGCGGCAAAGTCGGTTACTGTCAGCCCTAAACATGAGCCATCTTATCATCTCGGAGAGATACTTCTCCAAAATGCGTCGTTGCTTTTCCACGTAACGCTGTCTCCTGGTTGCCATATCCATGGCAGGCATTCCTGGGCCCTCAGTATTTGACATTTCGCCAGGGTCGGTAATGCCTGTTGATCTGCGTCTAGGGCCCATGCCCAAGAAGTTGCGGGATTTCCTTCGCGGGAGGCCATTGAGAGTTTCGGGATCGCTAAAGACGCCGTTGCCTCCCCCTTCGGCGGCTGTACCTTCACCGGCGGTCTCCTCCCCACGAATACTGGCTTGATCTTCGTCGTCGCTCTCTTCGCCCTTCTTCCGAGCACCACGGAGATAAGGAAAGGCCGAGTAGGGAAATTTGGGTTGTTTTGGTCTACCGCCCAAGTCCATACGTCCAGGCATGTACTTCTCGTTGTTGATAGCAAACTTGTACCGCAGATGTAGATTGTAGATATCTCTCAGAGTTCGACTAACGATCCAGCTCATTCTGCTAGGTCCGCTTCCATATTCAAGCTCTATGGTGAACAGCCAGTGCCGATCTCTATCGTCATCTTCCATAGGAGAGCTATCAGTGATACGGAGCTTGAGCTGTTCGAGGAGGACTGGGATTCTCTTGTTCCCATGTTCATCCCTCTGGATCATGCTAGCGAGCATCAGAACAGCAGGAGCACCAGCTCGCAGCTCAGCCATCAGTTCGGCCGATTTGAAGTAGTCGAAGCGATCTTCTTTCTTCTGCCTTAATAGTTTGAGTGTATTTTTGACCTGCTTCCACTTTTGAGCGCCAAAGGTAGACGCTCGCTCAGATGTGAAAAAGGGACGCCGGGGAGTCATGGCATCGCCGTCAGAAACACCGCCGCCACCAAATACAGTGATTCGACGAACATGCCCTGTTCGACGTCCAACAGCTCCGGGACTTTCGACCTCGTCGCCTTCCTCGCCAGGAGTCCGCATGGCGGACGTCATCCAAGAGTTTCCTCGGCGGAAGGACATCCCCAAGCGATCCCGGCCTTCGCCTTCAGAGACGCCGTATTCAGGGGCTGCATCGGGCATGCTTGCACGTCGTTTAACCAGCTGGTCGAAGGTGTCCAGCACGTCGGTGTCAGCTGCAAATCGTCTTGGGGTTCCGGGCGTCGAAGCGTTCGCCTTCTTCGTGCGGCGCATCATCCTCTTTTGTTTTTTCTTTTTAGATTTGCCATCCTCAGGAGTCCCTTCATCAGCGGTCTCCTCCGCATCAGCATCAGCGTCCGTGTCCTCCTCTGTCAAAGTTCCAGGAACACCGCGATTGGGCCGCGTCGGAGAATTGACGCTTGACTGAATACCTTGATTTGAAGGGCCAGCAACCGTCGGCGATTTGGGAGTTGGGAGACCACTGTTGTTGGTAAGCGCCTTGAGTTTGGACATCAGAGAGGCGCCACGGGATTTGCCCGGTGTGTCTGGCTCTTCCCACGAGTTACCTCGAATGACTGCAGGGGGAGTTTCGACGGGAGTATCGACGCCATCAGCAGTGGTGAGCTGTATACTTGGTCTAGGAGGGGCCTGGCTGTGATCTTGTCCTTCATGGCCGAAGTCTCGATCATTTATGCCATGGTCTTTGAGCGACTTGGTTGAAGCTGGGGTAGACTTCGGTATAGTCGATGAAGACCCAAGGTCACGGCCTTGTGGCAAGATATTTGAGGTTTGTTGTATCTCTGAAGTGGAATCGAAGGCTCCGGGGGAGCTTGTGTCTTTCGCATCGACAGGAGACAGAAGAGCATCGGCTTTTCCTTTAGACGGCGGAGCAGGAGCGAGTTGAAAGTTTGAATTCGATGGGGATACTGTGCGAGGACTGACATCCATAGGAGAGACGTCCCCGTCTTGTCGATGTTGTGTCATGATGGTCTTGTGGTGGTCGATTCGAATAATTTGGTAGTAACGATGGGTATGTAGGTAGTCAGCTAGACTAGTTAAGAAGAGCAAGCAAAGCGAAAGAAGATATTGTTTGATCGATTGCCGCGGCCAATGCAAACATGCTGAATGAACAAACAGAGGTGATTCGTTGCTGTAAAATATAGGTTCGATCTGTGATTTTGTTGTATTTGATAGAAGCGGGCGGCTGGTAAAAGGGGGCTCGTTGTTCCAAGCGTCGCACGTAGGCAGGTAGGTAGTAGGTCAGTCGCGCTGAGAAAGGTGGTGACGAACTAAAACAGCCTGGCCTGGCGGTCTTTGGATTGGATGTAAAGGGTGCCCAATTGATGGATGACGGGCCAAGATTGTTTTAGAGTAGGTGGTCTACCTACCTATGGTTGACCGTTTCGAAAAAAACAAGTTTACAACGACTTTGTTGCCGTCACGAGACCTGTTATAAGCAGATGTACTCTGTATTGCAATCCCTTGTTTCCCAGTCAGGGTCGAGATGAGGTCCCGAAATTTTGGAATAATTAGAGCCAAAAGACGTATCCGTACTATTACATCCTAGGTACCCTTGTCACGTCAGTCGTGGTATTGGACGATCTTACCGGGTTACCTTTATCAAATTTGGAAATGGAGAAGAACAGGATCCATCCATGATCTTGAGTCGAAGCAGAACGTGCTGACTGGCTAGAAGTGACTCGGCGGGGGCTGTAGGGGGCCTACCATTAACACTACAGTTGGTAGCTCCCTGGAAATCCTCCCTAAAATCCACAGCGCCCCCTAGATTGGCTAGACCGAGGGATCATGAAACGGGTTGGTCCAACGCCCGCAACGCCTCCCGCGTATGTAATTATCTCGACGTTGCTTAATTCCGTTCCAATTCGGACAGACGCGTTTCAGTAAGAAATAGGGATCGACGTTGTTCGAGATGATTACTATGTAAGGTAAGCAGCCATTATAGAGTTAGTGAGCTACCTACCTAGCTCTTGTGCTCATTTGGTTACAGCCTATCTATTCCGTACGGGCACAGCATCTGGAATTGCGCCTCGCCTAACAACAGCTGTTGACCGCTTGCGCTTACTCGTAAAAGCTCTGGATGCTTCATTTTGGTTCAGGAGATGGGAAATTACGTGCGGAGGCTGAAATACCTAGGCCTGACAGTTGCGGCATATCCGAGCCCCTCACCACTCACATAGGAGTACGAATAAGCCCACCAATTCTTTGATTTGAATTTTGCTGTACCATAGCAACTCTTTTCCTAATACATAGTATTGTGTAAGTCATAATATGCATAGCTTCATGTTGGTTTCTACGCCATCCAATTAGCATCACATGGTGAGTTTTTGAGATAGGTACTTAGTCATTCTCGGGTGGGTAGAGTAATATACCTGAATGGTCGAACTGTATAACTTGATTGATTTCTTTACCGGAAAGACAACCACGGTTTATTGATTATTCTTACAACTCTCTGTTAGTTCAAGCCAGTTACAGTAGTTGGTTAGTAAAATTTGCGGCATCCTTAACCTCGCCAGTGATGAGCTAATGCCCACAAGCTAAAAAGATACCTAGTCCATTGCTAACACTATCACATATGACATGTTAGGTATTGCAAAACCTGGACTGTACTGTACAGCGTAGGACAAGAGTAACGTATGACAAAATACAAGTTCCATTCACGCATGAACACTGCATTAGAGGTACACCCAACGCTCAATGAATGTACTATCAACATATCTACCTACCTAGAAGGGGAACATAGACGTGGAAGCGAGCTGCAACTCATGCGCATAATGGATGTCTGCAGTTAATGCTCCGAACTTATACGGAGACGCGCCCATAGTTATTTTCATTGACGCTGTCATATCATTATATAGTATATAGAGCATTAAGTGCAGAAACCTGCCAGTCGATCTGACCTGAGGCGTTGTCTGTAACAGCCCAAACCCCGTTTGTTTGATCGAGCGCAAGCGCCATTATAAAGTGGGAATACATAGAACTAAGTCGGCTTCTTCCCCATCACAATCGATATTAGATCGTCAATCTACTGCTGTCATTCTTTTCATCTTGTTTTCGTTTCTGTATCCGCACTCTACTCTAAACTAAACTTGAGGGGATTCTACTCTCGAGATCTTGAGTTTGATACACTACCCCTGTCATTGCAGTCAAGCCACCCTAGAGCCCTAGGATTTTACAGGCAATTGTCAAAAGAATGCAGACAATTCTTACACTCTTCGGCGCGATTATCTCGTACGCCGTGTATGAGTATGTGTCTGGCCTCTGGACGAATATTAAAGCGGCAAAGAGGAGTGGCTTGCCCTACATCATTGCTCGTAGGTACCCCTATCTTGACGGCATTGTTCAACGCTTACACGAATCCTAACAGCATGCTCCCCTATCTTCCTCCCATGGGCATTGACACATAAAGCATTGATTCCAATAATTAAGCTGTTCCCTGAACCACTATGGGAAGAATGGCTAGAGTATGTATAGCCATTCTCAGATTGAGCCCATTGCTGACCTTGGGGGCACTAGAGTTTTGACGCCTGGTTTCTCGTATCGTACGCGCCATGACGCCTTTGCGCGCCATGGAGATGTCTTCATCGTTGTTTCTCCGAAAATGCTGTTCATGATGGCCTGCAATGCCGAGGCCATTCGCCAAATCACTTCCAGGAGAGAGCACTTCCCTAAATACGTGGAAACTTACGAGATCTTGAGACTGTTTGGCAACAATGTTCTGACCTCAGAGGGTGCGATCTGGCGGAACCACAGAAAGGTGACTTCGGCATCGTTCAACGAAAGGAATGCTGCCCTTGTCTTCAAAGAAGCCATTCACCAGGCGCAGGGGTTGGCCAGTACTTGGATGGCGTCAAGTGTTGAAGACAGTGGTGCTATCAACACACTCGATCAGGACACGATGAGGCTAGCTCTGAACATTATTGCTTATGTTGGATTCGGTCTTAAATTGCTGTGGCCTGGGGAGTCTTTGCCAGCAAAATCAAATCCCAAGATGGCTAAGTATGCCTCGCCCGAGGCCACTGCAGGCCATAAGATGAGCTTTGTGGTTGCAATCGCAACTGCCCTGGAGTATATTCTGCTGGTGCTGCTCGTCCCTAGATGGTTATTGAGTAAGTTTGAGCTGGAAGGAGAACGATGAATTATCAGGCTAACAACGCTGCAGGAATGATACCACTCAAAAAGACTCAACTTGCGGCAGAGTCCCATGGGGAGTTCAGCAAGTACATGCATGAGTTAATGGATGAGAAGATCGAAGAAGCTCGAAAGGGTGAGCATGTCGATGGTATGGACCTAATGGGTCAATTGGTCAGATCCAGTTACGAGACTCGAACAGGCCCCAACCAGCAGAGCATGCAGTCCAAGAAGGGCGCGTTATCACGGGATGAGATCCAGGGAAATGCCTTTATCATGCTCGTTGCTGGGCATGAGACCACGGCTGGGGCGTTGCATTTTATCCTGCTAGAGCTGGCAAATAACCCAATGTCGCAGAGAAGACTGCAAAAGGATATCGACGAGATCTTTGGAGACGAGGACCCAAGCTCGTGGGACTATGACACCTTGATTAACCCGATGATGGCCAGTATGCTGGGGGCTTGTATGAACGAGACCCTCAGGATGACGCCCGCAGTCGTGGAGATACCAAAGAAAGTGCCTCGGGATCAAGAGCAGGTTATCACCATCGACGGCAACAGCCATATCATTCCCGGGAGCACAATCGTTTCCTTGGTAGCTGTCTCGGTGCACCGCAATCCACGATACTGGCCTGGGAAACCGAGCCAGATCCACGATGGCAAGGACGACATCAACGACTGGGTACCCGAGAGATGGTATCGAACCGATCAAGATACAGGGAAGTCGACAGAGTCGGAAGACAGTACTCATGATAATGACGATTTCGGGGGCTTCAAGGGCCCTGATACAAGCTCGCAGCTCTTTCGACCAGAGCGAGGCTCATATATCCCTTTCAGCGATGGACCTAGGTCATGTCTGGGCCGCCGGATTGCTCAAGTGGAAATCATTGCCGCACTTGCCGTCATCTTTCGAGACTACAGCATTGAACTCGCGGTAGATGAATGGGCAAGCGATGAGGAGATTGAGAGGATGGATGAAGAAGGAAGACGTGACGTATATGCCAAAGCTCAATCTGTAAGCCGAGCCAAGATTTTGAGCGCAACCTCGTTGTTGACCCTCAAGATGAACGACGATAATGTGCCAGTAAGGATGGTTAGGAGGGGAAAAGAGAGGTTTGTAAGTTGGGTATAGGTATGCCGCATTGGATGCTACCTTTTACTACTACCTTTTATTAGTAATTTATCTAACACTTGCATAACGCGTCTTCTATCATCTACACGTACATTACATAAGTTTATGAGTTGTATATTAAAGATTCACTACCTGTTGATTCCTACAGTTTACCCTTATTCAGTATAGTCATCAATGTATCTTATAAGACTTTGTCCCTAGAAAAAAACCAAGTTACGGATACCTAGGTGGGCATGATTAAAAGGTAGCATCGGCGCTTAAAACAATAATAAAGTATTTGCGTGTCGCGTTGTGCAGTGTAAACGCGGGTGTTTATACTTGTCTCCTAATAGGTACCTTTGTAGCTCCAAACGTTGTTCTTCAGGCTGTGGATGAGAGCAGGTGGGGTAAGGCAAGGTCATGTCATGCAGTTCCATATCATTATCTGCAGTGAATCAGTAGTGATTAAGCTCCAGGTTCATGCATATTGATTGGTGCAGGGTCACGGTCATTCCCCTAAAGTGATCTGCGGGGGAGCATTACATCGAAGGAACCGAAGGCGCGGGAGAAAAAAATGTAAACAAGGGAAGGGAAGAGACGAGCGAGACCCGCTACTAAGTTAAGTTTAGTACCTAGGTTCCTTCAGCACTCCCGTCATCCCGTCATCACCCTTCCAACTGGAACCCCCCCAAACACACCACATCCGAGTTACTCTTCCCATCATCATCTTCAGCTTCATTTTGCGCATTTTCTCTTATCCAACTGCAACGCGTACGTTTACATATTTTGCGCCAAGACATTCGTTTTGGAATACTTAAACCCCTACACTCTACGCGACAAACGCATACCTTGTTACTCAACATGTCCACCCATAGATACAACTCATGGTTGAAGACCAAGAAGAAGGGTGAACTAGAGACCCTTGCAGAGTCTGTCGGTCTACTTGAGTGAGTCAAGCCGTCATCCGTCAACCTGTATACACCATATGCGCGCGCAACAATCGTCGGCAACAATCAACTCGTCGCATTGTTTCCTTGTCCCTATTGTTTGCGCCTGCGTGTGTCCAAGCGCAGCGCGACGCGCGCCCACTTTAGCATCATCACGACCCCTCCATGCGCTCAACCGCCTGTGCCAGTCGCGCTGACATGATTTGATGCAGATTCGACGGTTTCAAGAAGGACGACCTCGGCGTAGCTCTTGACAACTACCTTACCGAGAACTCGTCGCGTTTTCTCGCCAACCCAGACCTCGCTGGCTACTTCAACAGTCGCTCCAAGGCTCAAGGATCACCGGTCAAGAAGGAAATCTTCCGTGAGGATGGCCTGAAGGTAGTACGGCGACGGCCCTCCAAGGCCGTGGAAGAGGAATCGCTTGAGTGAGTCGCCCATTATCAATAGTCACGCCAGCACCTCTTGTACTCGTGAGAGTCAAGGCGCGCCGAGGTGGTCTTGCGCGCTGTCATTGGAGTTTTTCAGCTAACAATCCTATCGTCCAAGCGACAGGAGCGACGATGCTTCTTCTCCCATAGCTACATCTACCGCGCTCGTTGAAACTCCTGGTCGTGCTTTGGCTCAAGTCGCGTCGAGCATTGCGCTACCTGCAACCCCCGCTGACGTAGCTCTGGCTGTTGATCGCTCGACCAGCATCGTGCGCCAACGCGTCTCGTCAATGTACGAGGATAGTGGCATCACTGAAGTTAGCCATGCGACGCGCGACACGCTTAGTACCGTCACAAGCATCCTCTTCTGTGTCGCAGGCTGGGAACTATGGAATGTCCGTCGCGAAATTCTGAGCAATGTTTACGCCTTCACGATTCCCGCCATCGGCGCTCTTGGCACACCCGACTACCCTGTCTACGTTCCTGACATGTTCCTGCTTCTCAGCTCCAGCTTCTGGTCGCCTGCCTTGACATGGCTTCTGACCAGCGTTGTCATCCCGTCATTTGCTGGCTACTTTTTCAATCTCAGCGCCACGAGCCCTCCCGCCTCGCGTGGTCGCCCTCGTCCAAACCATGCCGACTATGTCGTGGACCCTCTGACTTTCAGTATTGTCAAGGCCCTTATCTCATTCGTTGTTTACGGTCAGAACGTTAACTTTGGTGGCCTTCTCAATGACCTTTCCATTGAGCGTCTCGACAGGGCCGTTTATGGTGGCTACAAAGGCATCTTGACCGGAACTGCCATCACTGGCTTAGTCAGCATTTACGATGCCGTTCTGAGGAAGTGAGATGCTATAGATGGGAGCTGGCCGATCATGTGTTATACATGCTTATCAAGCTTCTACCTCTCGGTATACTTTCTAAGATAACGTCGCAGTGATGGGGAGTGAGAACCTCGAAGCGTCACGTTATTATTGGCGATCTTGGACCGACTCGCCCGGCCCTTGAGCCAAACTCACATTTTCGCATCGTTTGGGCGTGACGGCGTTGTAGGTTTTGAGTGTTGACGGCGTCAGAGGCGTTTGATACCTGGGGAATGGATTTTTATCTCTCATGCTTCGCCTACTGTGCCTGGTTTCTGTGCCTGGCGACTTTTACACCATTTGGGCATCCGTGACGCCCCTTTAGTTCCGTCTGATCAGCATAACTCATGACTGGATAGGATGATGGGATAGGATTAAAGGTAGTTGATCATGGCGCGGTATGATTCTACACGGGGCTCATATCAAATATTATATATCGTTGATCCAGGGATTAGTTTTTTCCTTTTTGAGTTATATATTCTGTTATTCCGAATTGCTACAATTGATGTAGGATGAGAAACTTGGCCTCAAGAACTGACATGATAGGATGGATGAAAGCTAGGCGAAAGGGTTTCTCGACCGAATCAACCACGAAGTTGAAGCATTTCTTTAGTGATGGCCAGTAGTAACATGCTTATTGACTCGTAGTATGCACACTCTGGCTAGGTGCTTAGGTACAAATTCGCCTGTGACATGAGGAGACTCACTCCAATCAAAGGCAACTCTGTCTTGTAACTCTGTGCAATTATATTGTGCTATATGGGGAAGTACTTTCGTGGCTTCATGCGGGATATCTGGCAGCAAATACTATGCACTCCTCCAACTGTTCGCAACTGTCAATGTTTATCCTGTTTCCGAGATAAGACTTTGTCCGACCGCATGGCTACTCTATAGGCAATCCTAATTTGACGAGAATTGTTGCCAGTTTGGCTGAAGCAACTCTAACCTCACAAGGAGAGCAGTATTTATTCTAACAGGCATCACAAAGGGCACTGGTACAAACATGACTCGGAACCGGCTTCGAAATTGGTTTCAAACCCAAGATGAAATCTCACTCCAAACTGCCGCCTCTAATACTAGATCGAATCTATACAAGTCGCACCATGTTCACATGTGTCTTCCCAAAATCCCCCCAGTCCAAAACGCCCCGTAGCATGGGCGGAGAACCCTTCCGCGCCTGGTCCTGGATGCCTCGTACCCAGAAACAAGATGCTACACTGATTGATAAAACGAGAACAGAGAATAAACAGACGAGTTAAAACAGAGGTTTTTTGTTTTGAATAATGCAGACAACCTTGTATGATTCCCAGTTGGAGATGAGAGGAATTGATTAGGACGACGTTGTGGAAACCCTTGGCTGGAGAGAATACCCAAACGGTGGAAGAGAAATAATAGGTAAGGTTCAAATAATAAAGTGTCTAGGTAGGTCTAGGACAAGTTCGCTAGGTCCGTAAACGGAATGCAAGCCGGGCGAAGGAAGTAACTGGTAAAAATAGATGCATAGAATTCGCGTCATCACCCTTCTCATCGTAGTTCTGGGAATCGGATGTCTTGCCATTCAATAATAGTCGTGGGTATATTTGTACAAATGCTCCTGCAAATGCATATGTGCGTGGTGATGTCTGTCGTGTGCGCTGGTCGAGGATGGACAAATAGCGTCGCCTTGCTCATGACGGCGACAGGGTTGAAGGAATGTTTCTGCGTCCCAGTCTAAGGCTTCTCTGAAGGATGCTCAAACTTGATGGGATGCACCAGCATACCACGCAGACATAGCCGGCCGCTGCTGGTGTCCTTCATCTCTTCCGTCTTGCCACCTCGCTCATGTCCCTCGTTCGCACGGCCACCATGCTTGCCACGACCGTCAAGCTGGGCATAGCCCAACCACCTGCGCCACAAAAGACCGGCAAACTCGCTGTTAAAGTACCAACTGGTGCCCTTGTGATTGTGTTCGTTGAGCTGGTCGAAGGGACTGCCAGGGCCAGATGTTGAGTGGTCACGGCCAGCGTTGAAAGCAGCATCAATTTCGCTAAAAGGATACCAGGCACGGTCGAGGAAGATGGGATGCGGGGCGTACACTCCCTTCATACCATGATGAAAAGCAACGGTAGGCGGGAACATCTCCGAGAACATGGTGTGGTGGTATCGCCAGACTTCCTCGTGCATTGACATCAGCAGACGACGGCTAAGACGAGATGCTGTGATGATGGCGCATCGTCGAGGAGGAGGAGCTTTGTAGCCTGTAGCATCGTCTGAGAAAACCCATCCTGATTGCTCGGTATCGAACAGTGGGTTGAGGGTGATGATATCGGCCTCTTCGCCAACACCACACTTGGAACGATCGGGGGAATCAGAACTGCACGAGGGAGGCATCATAGATTGACCCCATTCGTCGTGTCGTAGCTGCTCCTTGCCCTCAAAGGACAGGGGACCAAAGATGGGAGCGCGACCAGAAGCCAGGGTGTCATGTTGAACAGTCTGAGAAAAGTTCTCCCATGTTCCGTGGTAAGGGGGGATGTAGTAGCGAGCGCTGCGCTCCCAGAGAAGGGTTCGAGGCTGCTCCTTCGCCCACTTGCCAAGGCGGTCAAAGAACTCGTAGTAACTGCCGAGGTATCTCATATCCATCTCCCAGTTCCAGTAGTGCTCATATTCGGGGTGCTGCATGGCGAAAACCTGGAGAGGGAAATGGGCGCTTCGGTAGATGCCGTGAATGTCAGCGCCACTGGGGTTCTCGATCGTCTCCCCGAACCGGCCGGGATACATCAATCTCATTTGGGGCTCGCTCCAAAGCGAAACCAGACCTCGAAACTCGGCGGGAACGTTGTCGTTGATGATACGCTGCACAGTCCACTTGTCTGACCAAATGGGCTCGTCGATGTTTCGCACTTGCATCAGGAAATGAACTTGGTATTCACCACCCGATCGTAACGAAAGCTCACTAATAAGGGCTCGGAAGTTCAGGACAGCAAGCTCAGTCCACTTAAAGCCAGTGTAAGTACGGACGACGACGGCGATACGTCCCTTCTTGCTGCTAGTCTCCGAGAGCTCGCCAGTGTCGGCGTTGACCTGCTTGAAGCGGTGCTTGTTGGCCTTGTAGCAATCTTCCTGTGCGTCGGCCCAGTTCACATCGATATAGTTGATTTTGCCGGTTTCTGCCCACACGGCCTCATTGTGAGCGGCTTCAGTATCCAGACCAGTATCCAAACCACCTTGGGCTCTGCTATAGCCCAGGCCGTAAGGTCCGTAACGACTGAAACGGTCGAAGCAGATGTCATCCCTAATACCGAGAAGCTTGTAGGAGCCGATCGCGGGGTCAGGCATATGCTGGGGTACACCGTTGTAAGCATACAGATCTGGGGCGGGGACGGTCTTCTTGGCATCGAGGTAGCAAGTCTTGACGTCGCTGTCATGATCGTATGGGATGTACTTCTGAGGCTTAGGTACGTGGTCGCTCATGGCAGGAGAAGGCAAAGGCGCCTTGTCAGTAATGTTGGGATACTCAGGAATCAAGTTGGCCTTGCTAACGATTGTTCGGAGACCGTGGAAGTAACCATCAAGGCTGGAGGTGAGGTTAGTAATGCAGGGGAAACCGGAGTGTGTTAACGTACTGAGGGAATCTCAACCAGGGCATCTTCTCAAGCTGCGCAGCAACTTCCTTCTTTTCATCGGCAGTAACGTACTCGCTCTCAGGCACGGTCTCGAGCTTTCCATCACCATCCATATCACCAGTAAGCATGACGACAGTCTCGCCTTGTGTGTTCACAACAGTAGCTGTCGCAATGGGTTGTTGCGTCTTGGTACCACTCATCTTTCCGACACTGTAGCCGGAACTCCTTGATTTTACAAAAATCAAAGTGATAAGGAAGGCCACACCAAGAAGCCAGGTGAAAACTCGTCGAGCATGGCATGGCCCCAGGAGTGACCGCATCCTAAGTCTAGGCTTTTTGGTCTTTTCAGAGATGATGGAGTAGGGGAGAAGAGGATCAATTTTCCTGCCCGAGGGGCCTCGCGAATTATTGTTATTGTTGCGGGCGGCCATGGTGACTGAATGGCGCCGCTGCATACTAGGCTGAAGAGTCTGGCACGCTTAGGCCGAGGGCTGATCGAGTCGCGGGGTTTTGTGCGGCGGATACGTGTAATGTATGGATGTAGGCGAGCAGGTGGTTACGAAAATTATCTTAGATACGGAGCGAAAGTTGAGTGGAGCCGGCCGACATCGAAGGGTTCGTTGAGCAAGTTGCAGGTACAGGCGGATCTGACCGGAGAATCAATTGAAAGTAACGACTGGCAGTCGTCGAGATATCCTGCAAGGGAGGTCGACGAAAGGTGCTGTCCGATTAGGAGCGTAAATTAGGCGGCCGACGATACTACCTCGTTATGAGACGGAGGCAATTAGATGAAAAAGGAGGCGAGGCGGCGGAATAGCACAATCGCACGGCGCGACACGCAAAGGCTTGAAGCAACACGGGGAAGACCGGCGCTTGCCGAGTTTGCGATAAGAAGCGAAACAGAGGGCGTCGTCAAGGAAAGCGATGAACAGACCGAGCGAAGAGCGAAAGGCGTTGACGAGGGGAAAGAGAAAGGAGGGGGGAAATAAGAGAAAAGAAGTTGAATCAAGAAGAGATAGGAGGGAGAAAAAAAAGCGAAGACAGACCTAACCGGACCAGGAGAGGAGAGGCAGCGCAGGGATTGGATTATGGACACGGGAGGGACAAGGGGTTGCTATCCTCGGGCCAGGACCTTGCAGACTTGGAGAGGCCAGAGGGCGATAGGGGGACAAGGGAGGAAAGAACAGTGCAGCAGAGGACAAATGTACTTAGGGGAAAGGGCCCGCTACGGAGTCCGCTAAGCAGCCAGGAGGGAGCGGAAGGGGTACAATTATGGAACTTGTTGAGGTACCCGTACAGTGACTGTAAGTAGAGGTAGATTCCATGGCTGGGATCTGCTCTGTACAGTTAGTAGCTGGCCCGACAGTTCAGAGAGGATAT